AACATGTTACAAAACACTTAATAATTTAATCCCTTTACGTATCTTGAGCACTTATGAAAATTAAAGCCTCTCTTTTATGGGGTACTTCATTTAATATAATATTACAAAGACTGAACAGAATATCAAATGTTACGTTGCGATTTGCATGTTATAACTCAAATAATGCCTTGGAATTATAAGTAATATTTGTAAAGAGGATACCTACTTGTCTAATAATACCTTCTTTCTTCGGCGCCAATGCCATTTTTTTTTGTAACTGTGTAGGTTGTGGCTTTTATATTTAGTTGGCTCTGTGTATAGTATAGCCATTTGGGTACTTGCCAACTAGTTTTTTTTTATGGCATAAGCCGGTTAACGAGCAGACGGATCACGTGATGGTAAGCAATCGGCGTCGCCCATGGACACCTGGAACACCAAAGGCATTAGCACAAGTGCGTTACTGGCCTTTTGGGGATTAAGAGTTTGAGGATCGTTGGGGATTCAGGAATTGGGGAGATTAGGGAAGGGGAGGGTAATTGGGCCAGGATTAGTAAATTCAATACTTATAATAATAATAATAAGAGATTGTGTATTGTGACGTCACGTTTTTTTAGCGTTAAACATCGTAATTACTTCTTCAATATTTGCTGGAAAAATACTATAATAATGTTGGTCATAAAATCAATTAATGAAAGTGTGTTAATTTTTTTTTTATTTTATTGAACAGTCGAAATCATTTTATATTTATTTGGCTCTGTATATAGTATGGAGGTAGATATTAGTTATACGGATGTTTCTGTAATCTGTTTCACCGTCCTCAACAGCCTATAAGTGACTGCTGAGCAAAGGCCTCTTCTCACACGGGGAAGGTTTGTGCATTAATCACCACGCCTGCTCAATGCAGGTTGGCGATTACAAACTTATAATCACAAATTATAAGCCCAGGTTTCCTCACGATATTTTCCTTCACTGTTTGTCAGTGATGTCTAATAATCTTAAAAAGTGCATATAACTCGGAAAAACTCACATTGATACTTACCGTTGGTAGATTACGAACCCACACCCTCATGCATAAGAAGCGGGCGTCTTAAACCTCCGGGCCACCACGACATCTTGCGCTTTCAAACTTCCCAATGTTTTCTTGCACCGTATGCCAGTGGTTGTATAATCTTAGAAAGTAAGTATACTTGGACAAAGTCGCATTGGTACTGGCTAGTTTTCCTACCCGTACGCGTGTGGGCATTATTTTAAACTTCATAAATTTAATGAGAAATATTTGATAAGCTAAAAATACCAACGTTATTTTACCCGACGAGGTACCTATCGAAGTCGAGACCTCTTGATTGGCAGTTACGACTATTCATCCAACGAGGCAGTCTAAACACATAACATAACGTCATCGCGCCTTTGATCCCCGGAGGGATATGCAGAGGTGCACATTACGGCACTTAATGCCACTGTACAAATGTAATACCCACTTTTCACTATTTATATTATGAGTATCATGTAATAGGGGGTGAGCCTACTGCCATATACCGAGCACAATTCCGTGCTAATATTGAGAATTAAAAAAAAAAACAAGTAATACTTTGCCTGACCCGGGAATCGAACCCGAGACCCCTCGCCCAACATTCGCACTCACGACTAGTCACCTAATGGAGCAATCTAATTATAATTACATAATTATATTAAAACGGCTTTATCAGTTCATTTTAATAAGTTCATTTTTATATCCGTATTTCTTTCTTTCTTATGTCCAGTAGTGATAAAAGTGACAAGGAGTGAAAATCCTTATGAATAAGGTTTACAAATGCGATGCGAGGGCGAGGCGCGCCACAGGGCGAAACGTAAATGAATTATCTTTAAACTGTGGACGTGATTCCGCTACCATCAACCACTGAGGTGCTCAACCTTTTTACATGTTGCCAATTTATTCTTTATCTGTAGTTTCACTGGGTAGAAATGAAATTAGGAATTAACGCATTAAACGCCGCGAGGGTCACCGGTGACCGACGTTAGTGGACGATTTGCCTTCATCAGTTTTCTATTGGTAGTCAAAGGCTTAATTAATATTAAGTTACACGTAACTGTTTGACGAGGAACTCGACTAGTTTCAAGCCATGCTAGAGGCTCATATTCATGAGTAGCATCCCGCGACACGCGACGTTGTGACTGTCGCGCTGCTGAGTAAGCTAAAACATAATAATTAATTTAGTATCTTTCACGAAAGTTGTAATACGAAATGTGGAGTATTGGATGACTGGATTATTTGCAATGGGATGAAGGTTTACCACCCGTAGCTGGTTCAATTAGGAAATTACTAGTGAAGAAAAAAGAGGTGTTACATAAACACTTTCTTTACTTGTGTGAACATAACATCACATCAACAGCCTATAAGTGGCGACTGTTGACCAAATGGCTCATCTCACACGAAGAAGGTTTGAGCATTAATCACCACGCTACCTCAGTGTGGATTGGCGGTTTAAAATGTATAGTTACATATTTTATAATTTGTGACTATAAATAATAGCCCAAGTTTCCTTACGATGTTTTCCTTCACCGTTTGTCAGTGGTGAATTTTGCAAGACTTTTATTGGCATGTAGCCGATGTACTAAACAGTAATAAAGGCTTGTTTTATTTTCGAAAATTATAACAAAAAGTAAGTTATGTTCCGAAATTCATATTCTACGCGGACGAAGTCGCGGGCAACAGCTAGTCTTAAATATCTTGCATTGTTACATACTTCTATTATTACCGTCACTAGAAATCGAAGTATATCATAACATAAAATGTATATGGTAATGGACTGCTTCGTTGGCCGAGTGATCGCAAGTGCGACTGCTGGGCAAGAGGTCTAGGGTTCGATTCCTGGGTCGGGCAAAGTATTACTGGGTTTTTTTAAAATCTCAGTAGTAGCACGGAGTCTGGAAATGTGCCCGGTATATGGCAATAGGCCTATTACATGGGACTTATAACATAAATAGTGAAAAGTGGGTGTTACATTGTACAGTGGCATTAAGTGCCGAAATGTGCACCTCTGCCTACCCCTTCGGGGATAAAAAGGCGTGATGTTATGTTATGTAAAATGTATATGTTTATACAACATTAACAAACAGCCAGCGACACTGCGACAGTCTAGTACAAAACTATGTTCTTCTTCTACATTTTTACACAGCTAGAATAATTTTTAATTCATTAATAAAATCAATCACTACTAAAAGACGAACTGACACGTTTTAGGAACACATACATACATGAATACACACACACGTCATACATTCCAAATTACTACATAAATGCAAGAAGGTCGTTTATGTCTGCAAAATGCCGTCTAAATGCTGACAATGCATTACGTCAATTTATACAACGGTAATCAAATGTTGCCCGAAATTGCATCATTTACGTATTTAATCTATTGAAGTTCACTTAGAGTAAAGTGTACGTGTACATGTGTGTACGTGTGTGTGTATTTTTTTTCTATTATTTATAATTTTGGGGAGAAAAATTAGGGAGTGTGGCGTACTTACATCAGTACAAGAACCTCTGTGGCTGTACGTACATCAGTACAAGAATCAGCATCTGCAAGGAGCTTCGGGTACTCTAATTTGAACTCTATACTGACGTAAGTCTACTTTGAACACCAGTGCATCTTAAGACAGTGCCCTATTTTAAAATTGTGTGTTTTAAATAGGTTAGTTGTGTTTTTATATCGTAATCTAGTCGCTACTAGATGCTGCGAAATTGCCCAAGGGAGTCCTCTACATACATTTAATTAAAGTAATAGTATTAGCTAAGTACAAAAGTGGTATGTAATCTAACAAACGCGGACAGTGTTACTATGAAATCAGTTAAATTAAACCTTTAATAGCTCCATCCCAAATCAAACTGTACATATTTTTATAACACCTCTATTATTAGTTATTTTATTGTAGAAATACACGAATTTTGTAAACGTTTTTAATATTAAACTAACTATATTAACATCCAAATCACGAAAATCGTTACAGAAAAATAATGACGTCATCAGACATTCGGCAACTGTATGGAAATTTCAGTTACAGGTGAAAAAGTTTGAGCACCCCTGTTGCTTCGGTGTCGGGGCCTATATAAACTGTGGATACGGATCACGGTACAGCATTCGACGTGCAACAGGTTGAGAAGGTAAGTCGATACGTACTCATATGCCCCGCGTACATTTGAATTTGAAAATGGAATTATTCTTTTTTATTTTTGTATTGAGAAAATAAGGATTTAAATTTCGATGACTTTTTTTCCTTCTATGTTATCTGTGTTAAAAATATTTTTTTTTTGTTATTAAAATCAGTTAAATATTTTAAAACAGTAGTGTTATGAGTTGAATTTAAAATTTTCTTTTTTATTAAAGTTTGTGCGTAATCCAATCATCGTAAGTAAAGAAAGTTTTAACTCAGTAATTTACAATATCGTTGAATTTCTCTGTCTTATTTCATAAGAAAAGTGCAAGATTTTGTCAAGTTATAAAATATTAAAAATAAAATTCACAATTTTTATATTTTTATAGCTTTACACAAAATACGTTCCTACTTTTTAACGTAATTTCTGTTATTTATAGCAACATATTATAATAATCTACTAAATCGTTTTCCTTGATTATGTCGCAAATCCATATTCTTTAGCAGAATATAACCTACATGGAAAATAAATAAAAAACAATAATATTTATTACGATCACGATCCCAATATTGCAGATATATGTGGACCGGTTTTTACATTTTTTCCCAAGATGAAACAAAGGCAAATGAAAGAAAAAATTAACTATATAACTAATATTTTTATTACAGAAAATTATGTTTATTATAAATAAGATATGGCATTATTCATTATAGGCATATTTCTTGATAAGAGCAATGGTATTCTGTCAGTTATTTTATTCAGTTTTTCCTGTCATTCTTTATGATTTTTCTTATCTAAAACGTATTTTCTTCGATTATAATTTCCTAACTTGTACTTAACACAATCACTAAATATGTTGTTTATATCTTAAAAAAGTATCTATAAAATAAAATTTTAACTAGGTTCAACAAAACGTAAAAAAAAACGATATCGATGTCGAAATGTCTTAAAGACATATCGGCGGCATAAGCAGTCATCGGAAAAACAAAGAAAAATACAACCGAAGTATAAAAAAATACAGTTGGTTCTTTTTTTAAATACCAATATTAAAAATACAACGCTGAATATCGGTAACATTGCGTTTTTTTTATGTAAATATAGTATTATAAAAATACAGTTCTTTTTTTAAATACACATATTGAAAATACAAACCTTAATATCATATTGCGTTTTATTTTTATTTTTATGCGAATATAATTTCTAAAGGTGAAATAATACCACTGCTTGGGAATAGCTACAAAACTAGGTCTAGTTTGAAGAATAGGCGTACCGTATTTTTTGTATTGATTCTATTTTTTCTTTTTACAAAAACCTTCCTTGGATTCTATGAATATTGGAAAAATAGTCGGATCGACCCAGAATTTTGTACGCAACGAGGCAGCGACATATTTAAATATTGTACAAATATTTTAATACTGATAAATGTTAAGTTCGATTTAGTAGATATTTTTTAAATATTCCAGGACATTTTTATCAAAGTTAATCGGTAAAGCTAAAAGTAGTTAAGTTAACAAGCGATTTTATTTTATGAAAACTATGCCACCACACATTACGATATCAGACAACTCGAATTTACTTTTTTAATCAAAATTGAATCACTAAAATACTCATCGACAAGCAAAAAATGTTCAAACCAAAAGCATCCATATACATTTACAACCTTATCGCAAACTACATTAGAACTCATTCATTTAGTTTAACTTGTGATCGAATCTGTGTGTACAATTAGCTGTTTATCCGTTAGTCGCATTAATTATTCGTGTCCTACGATGAGAGAGCGCAAAGCCGTCGGTTCGGGTTGTCTTACAAATATCTGAAGACCTAAATGTTTACTTATAGGGATTTAATCCACAAAGGAAGATATATTTCAAATCCAATCAAATCACGTTAATACATCAATGGTATGTGAAGAGTGGTTTTTTTTCGCAAAACTACTTACTCTACTTACCAAATAATGGGAATAGTTAATACTATTTTTAGGCATGATATTTTCAATACTTACAATAGGGTAGTTTCCTAAATTTTATTTTAATGTCCGTCTGGTCCATTAATATAAAACTTTAGACACGTATTTTTTCTTTTCTCACAAAACTAAAACTTTTAACGATATATTAATTTAAAATATCGTGTGACGTCACAGCGTGCCACATTTTGTAGCACGTTATTACGTAACGACCTCCCACTCCTAATCTATCCTAATTTTATCTAAGTATTGCAACTTAATACGAGAAAATAAAAAAAACACGCGTCTAATATTTTTTCATTATCTACCTGACGGAATAATTAGATTTTTAATTTTGATACCCTGGAACTACCTAACTAATTGTGTACTCCCTAACTAACTAACTGATTGTGTACTGTTATTGGTAACTAGCTGTGCTCACGACTTCGTTCGGGATATAGTGGTTCGTGGAATAGTGATTTACTGAGCGTACCCCGTACGTGATAGCGTGGTAATATGTAGCCTATATGTTGACTTGACCTGTTAGTAATAATCCTACAAAATTTGATGGAAATCCATACAGTACTTTCTGAGATCATCCCGGACATACAGACAAACAGAGAAAAATTCTATAAAAATAATATTTATGGCTTCAGTATCGACCGTAGATCAGAACCCTACTTGGGTTCTTGAAAAAAATATTTAATGTACAGTTTTGACTTTTCTACGATTTTATTATATGTATATATGTATATATAAGTAGATATTACATGTATAGAAGATATTTATATCGAAATATTAAGATTACAACTCCCTTCATGATATTTTATTCTGAAATATCAAACTTATATTGGTTTATACATTAAAAAAAACTTGTGATTATATTTAGACATCACTACAATACCGTATCGTTTGTTTGTTCACAGAAAGACAACAATAACGTGAAAAATAATATTATTCTTATATCTTTCTGTCTATATGTTCGTTACAACTTTAAATCGACTTGTAGTAATGTGCAATGCGCTTTGTACGTGTTTTCGGTTTTAATGCATAATTGAGTTCACTTCTACATACACACACATACACACATATATCTGTCTGTGTACGTTATTGCACATGTAAGTAAACTTGGAACACATATTTTTGAGATGAGATATACAACATTAGGTACTATATTTCGTAAATAATAGTTTTTAAGTAATAATTACATACATAAGTTCACGCCTGTGTCCCATAGGGGTAGGCAGAGACTATGGAACGTCGATTGCTATGATTCCTACAAACCTCTTTCGGTTCATCAACAGTTAAATTTAAGTAATAATTATTGTTAAAATCCAGGTGATGATCTATACCAATCTTTGCTAAAAAAAGAAGTCAAAAGAAGGTAAAGAAACTCGACTGAAAATTCTGGACTTGACGTACGTACATATTGATATAATTTGACTACCCATACATTGAATTTCCTTAAATTAAAATCAGTAAACTTTCGTCATTATATCAGCCATAGGAAGTCCACTGCTGAATATATGCATCCTCCAATGACTTCTAGATAAGCCGACTCTGCATACAGCGGCTCCCTAAGACCTTAATCAGGTGTCGCGGAGAACCTAACGGGTAACCGGGGCTCCGGCTCGACGTGCAGGAGAAGCAACGGGGTGGTTTTTAGTCAGTAAGAGTCTGACACTCCCTCCCGCCTCACCCAGGCGGGAGCAGTCATTCGAAAAAAAAAGACCTTAATCAGGTCGTCTGTCCACCTTGTGGGTGGACGTCCTACGCTGCGCTTGCCACCAGTAAAACTTTACTTACATTTCTTTTTTTAATATCATACTAAAGCTCCTAAACATGACGAGTTAAAACATGTCACATTACAAGTACATTTCTAAACATCCATTTAATTTAATTTAATTAACGTAATTGTTACGATCGATATATTAATTTTCACTTATAGCTAAACTCAATAACTTATATGACGTTTGATTTTCCTTCCTACAAATACAATTAGCATAGGGTGGTTCACCTGTTCGCGTCCACCCACCAGATCGCGTCCATTTTACGGATCGCCATGAATCATTCATCAATTGTTTATTAACAGTCTATAAATGCCCACTGCTGAGCCCTCTCTTTTTGTCGAAATTTATTTACGACCTTCAAACCTTCAAGAAAAGAGCGTATTTGTTTTTAAGGGGCCGGCAACGCACCTGTGACTCTTCTGGTGTAGCGGGTGTCCATGGGCGGCGCTGATCGCTTATTATCAGGTGATCCGTCTGTCCGTTTGTCTCCTATTCGTATGTGTACTAAATACTACTCATATGGTAACAGTTTTCTTAATATCGGGAATTTTTCAGGGCATTCCGGAACATGGACATGAACTGGTGAACTTACCCTAAACAAGCTCAATACAAAATGTAACACCACCTCTTATAACTAATAAGTAATAACCGAATCAACCAAAGATATATTAATTTCTAGACTCACCATCTGAATTTTAAATCGACGATAGTTTTTGATACAATTCTTAGGAACACAGACGTGAGAACAGAAAACAGACGTGAAGCAATGCTTGCGGTGTGTTTCGTTGTGTGAGTGAGGTTACCGGACGCCCATTTACCCCCTTCCCCAGTCTCCTCAATCCCCGAATCCCCCACAATCCTCAAATTCCTAATTCCCAAAAGTCCGGTAACGCACTTATAACGCCTCTGGTTTTTCGGGTGTCCATGGGCGACGCCGATTGCTTACCATCAGGTGATACGTCTGCCCGTTTACCGGCTTATACCATAAAAAAACAAACATCCTGAAGGATTTTCTTCGACAAACAATTCCAAGTTTTTATAATCAAGGCAAAATTATTCTCGAACTTCAACTCATGTAATTTAAATCACTATGTCTCTATTCTCTCTGTTTTCACGAAACTTCACTTTTATATGTCATAGTAGTAGAAAATATTAAGGGATACTTAACAAGGTACTACCTTATTTGAGCTTCTATATCGAATGTGCGGGCAAATTAATTTTGGTGATGGTATTATTAACATAATTTGTTTTTATAATAACTATCGTGAGATATACTAAATTAACTAAATATCGCGGTACTAGTAGAGCTTTTCTCAGTATATTCACGTGACTAACCCGCGATTTTTAGTTAATCAACATAATTTGATATTTATAGGGACGTATATATTTATACCTAGTATATTGACTATTATATTAACAACCATAGCATAGGATTCAACTCCGTCATGAATCAAAAATAATATCTTTTTCTCTAAACGACGGAAGATAACTAATTATAATAATAATAATTACTATTTTGTGTGTCCATTACATTTATTTAGATTAAAGTTATCTAAAGGGCCTATGCGTAGTTGGCTTTGGCCCTTCGTACGCCGCCCAAATGTCCGGGACCCTGCGATCCCGGGAATGGTAAAGACACACATAATATAAAAACAAATTAAAACACTATTTTCAATATCATCTCTGACAGATGAACAAGGAAAACGTTGACCAACTATTTTCTTAACACTTCACATATGACGTCATAAAGGTACACAGCTTAGTGACGTCACGTCTCTCCAGTCTTAAACTATTTACGCCTGTTAGCCTCTTCCAAAGGAATCCAATTAATGTTTAGTTTGTCCTTAGTCAATGGCTAATGGGAGGTGAATGTTTAATGTTTTTTTAACCTAATTAGTATTGGAATTAATTGAAGATTTAGCATATTTTTGATTGTAATAGCCATAATGGCCAGTGATGATCTAAACTAGCCTTTTAATGCTGAAACAAGTCAAAAGAAGGTAAAGGAACTGGGACAGAAAGTTCTGAGCTTATGTAACGTAGGTACATTTTGATATAGTTTCAGCATCAACCAACATCAATCAATACATTGAATTTCCTCTTTCGACTAGACCTTTTGGAAATCCTGGAAGTACCGTTTTTATGATGAGGGGAAACCTTTAAAAGTCGTCTAGCCTTTCGAGGAGAAAGACTAGGGAAGGGGGACTTTTACCTCGCTAAAACCACCCCGGTCACTACCGTCAGCACCTGAGCAAGTACCTAGCTTATAGCAACATATCTAAAGTTTTAATGAAAGTAATTATAAGTGCCCACTGCTAAGCAAAAACCTCTTCTCACACGGAGAAGGTTTGAGCATTAATCGCCATACTTCTCAATGCCAAATAAATATCGTGGTAGCCCGCTTCTCATGCATAAGGTTGCGGGTTCGAAACCAACAAACGGCAAGTACCAATGTGGATTTTACCGAGTTATATGTACTTTCTAAGATTATTCAGATACCATTGACAAACGGTAAAGGAAAACGTCGTGAGGAAACCTGGGCTTATACTTTCTAGAGGTAATTATAAGTTTGAAATCGCCAACCCACATTGAGCAAGCGTCGTGAATAATGCTTAAACCTTATCCGAGAGGCTTTGCTCAGAAGTGGGCATTTGTAAGCTGTTGATGTATGTAGCTCAATGCTCAATAACATACTTGACAAAATGTAGATATTATTTATGTAGGTAATGCAATAATTTCACTATTTCGAGGAAAAACAATCACGATGCTATCTCCGAAATAAGACTTCTCACCTCATTATAAAGTCAGCACTCATAAACTTAGATTCTCTTCATCCGTTTTACTCAGAATGTTAACAGAGATTAAAGATTAAACCGCCGTACATTATAGCCTGTTGAAAGTTTAAACGTATTGTGATTAAGATCAGATTGAGATTAATCTCCGAGTTCATATGGGATGCTGCGGGATTTTCTTAAAGTACTTAAATTGAAGATTCTTGTTATTTATAGACTTGGTTAAGGCGTTTAGATTTTACAAGTTTTTTTTAATACGTGTGTAATTGCAAGTTAAATAGGACTCTCGGGTTATATATCTGAATCACAGTTTTCAATAACTACGAACTCTGATATACTGCCGCATGTCTTATCACCCCTTTTTTGAGTGAGGAAAATCATTCAGTGGCTTCTCCCGTCTAGGGTGAGGCAAGAGTCAGACTCTTACTGACTAAAAACCAGCGTTGGCCACCCGTCACATCTTCCGCGGCGCCTTCCTGCTCCTAAGAGATTCATAGCGTACTGTAAGAAAAGTGGTAGTAACATCTAATAGATTTCAAGATCATTTTCTTCATTCTCGGGTAACAAAAACTATAACCATGTGGATACTATGTTTTTGTAATAACTATCGTGAGACATACTAAATTAACAAAAATCGCGGGTTACTCACGTGAATATACTGAGAAAAGCTCTATTAGTTTCGAACCACAGGGAATGAGGAAGAATCCCTCTGTGGTTCGAAACTAGTCAGTAACCCGCGACTTTAGTTAATTTAATGTGGATACTGTGTAAAGTTATTATAATAATAATAAATGGATTGCTAATGATACTCGTTTGTCCAGCAGATCACAACTATGCAGCCTACAATGAGGATCGTCGTCTCCATGGTGCTGCTGGCGTCAGCGCTCGCTAGTGCTTACCGTGAGTAGAACACCATAATATCACACACCTACAACATACACACATCAGGCAGGCAGTAGGCAGAGGTGCTTATTACGACACTTAATGCCACTATACAATGTAACACCCACTTTTCACTATTTATGCTATGAGTTCCATATAATACACGGTGAGCCTATTGCCATATACCGGGCCCAATTCCAGACTCCGTGCTACTACTGAGATTATTTAAGAAACCCAGTAATACTTTTGCCGGACCCGGAAATCCCCCGGCAGTCTTGCGACCACTCGGCCAACGAGGCAGACCTTAGTACTGACCTATTATTTAAAATCACATCGTGTAGAAATGATACCAACCGTTAATAATACGTCTCATAAGGTTCAAGATTCATACGTCGCCGATCATTGCGATAATCAAAAGGAGTTTATTTATATTTACTAAATCGATTTTTAGTTTAAATGTAAGAGGTTAAGTTAAGATTCAATGTAGAATCGTTTGATTATCATCAATGATTAACTGTATTGCTGAATAAAGTCCTCTACGTACATGGAGTAGGATCAAGCACTCATATTCTCGACTTGATCAAGGCAGATTGGTGCTTTCAAACTTTTAAGGCTTAATTCACACTACCGTGACTTTTTGCATAAAAACTGTACATAGCATAATGAACTTTATAACAACTGTATAACACACATATAAGTATCAAAGAATTCTCGAGAATGCGCGAGGATTCCGTGGTAGACGCGCGTCTAATTTGATATTATTAATCCAGGTTTCCTTACCTTCACCGCATGCCTATCACTGAAGTTTAAATAAAATTAGAAAAATACACATAACTTAAAAAACGTTTCATTGGTGCTTGCTAAGGATCAAATCTTCATGCTTTTGTCGGGCTAGGTCACCACAAAAAGGAATTGATGCCAAATATAGGATATACAACACTATTTATATGTTTTTATAGAATAGTACTCTTACTTATTTCGTCCTTAATGCCAAAGAACACTGACTTTATCTTCAGATTAGTGCTGTACGGCTTTGTTTAAGGAAGTCTCTATTCCGGCCAATCCTAAGGGAATAGCTGACCTTTTTTATTTCGACAATGACCTTTCGAGAGTAGGTATATGCTTTATTAGATATAGTTTTTTATTGAAAAAGAAAACTTAACCCCGTGGTGGGGTTTTTTTCGATGTCGTGGGTGCGTTGACAAACACATAATTTCACACACACATCACACACATTAGATCTTGGACTAATTTGTAAATCTCTCAAAGAGTTGTTCTGTGCGGGAATTAAACCGGCTACGTAAACTTAGATAGATTTTTCTTGAAACAGAAATCTATGTCCCACACTAGGATTTTCCCCCATATCGTGGGTGCATTTACAAACACACATTCACTCGATTAATTTGACCTGTGGATCACTCAAAGAGTTGTTCCATGCGAGAATTAAGCTCGCGACGTAAACGTAGATAGATTTTTCTTGAAACAGAAATCTATGTCCCACACTAGGATTTTCCCCCATATCGTGGGTGCGTTTACAAACAAATAATTTCAAGGGAATCCAACCTTTACAAGTTAATAATTGCAATAAAATGGTACAACGCGTGGGTTTCAGCTTCAGCTTCAGCATAACATAAGCAAAAGATTACGAAAGCGGTTTAAGAGATTATTGCTGAACGTTAATGTTGGTAGCGTGTCGGGAATATTAAGATGGGAACATGATGGAGAGGTTTTAACAACTCAAATGTTAATGTTCCAATAAATTGTTCCGACAATTTTTAAAGAGGTGATTTGAAGGAAATTTAAGGATTTCATCGTTGAAAGGTTTTGTGAATGTGGGTTGAGGATGTTTCTTTTTATTTATATATCAAGTGATTTCTTTTTCAATTTGCTCGAAAGATTTTGCAATAACAATGAGTAAGATAAATATGAAGTCAGAAATTTAGCTTTTAGCAATAGGTATTCATAGTGACTGCGTTGTAGGCCGAGTGGTCGCAGGTGCGACTGCCGGGCAAGGGGTCTCGGGTTCGATTCCCGGGTCGGGCAAAGTATTACTGGGATTTTAAAAATTCTCTGTAGTAGCACAGAGTTTGGAATTGTGCTCGGTATATGGCAATAGGCTCACCCCCTATTACATGGGACTCGTAACATAAATAGTGAAATGTAGGTGTTACATTGTACAGTAGTATAATGTGCACCTCTGTCTACTCTTTGGCGGATAAAAGGCGTGATGTTATGTATGTAGTATTCATTGTGTTCCCTGAGTCTTGATAAGTAAATGAAAAAATACCCTAATCCTATTTTCACTAAAAATACATTGTGTTTATAAATACATTGGATTTTTAGTGCTTTCTATTTAAACTCAAAGGTTGGCTGGTAGAGAATGCCATATGACATTAAGTTCGCCTTATGTACCACTATTTTGTTACACTGTGAAATATTAAATAAATAAATTGTAACTGTGTTGGTTCAATAGAACAAACTGCTAAACTTAGTTTGACAGTTATCAAAAACTATAAGAGCATTGAATAACTTCTATAATAATTACTTCTAACTTAATAAATGTGTTTCTAATAATACACGAATTAATTATTATTAATTATTTTGTTAATCTGTACAACATATAGTTGTTTAATTGCAAACTGTATTTGGTTAATTAATTTTAACAAGACTATTCGAAGCTTTATTAAAATTGTTTAACATAATCAAAGAAAATTGTTTAGTACATAGTTCGGGAGTTGTTAAGTTAAAGTAATATAATAGTTCTATATTGTGTGTACGTGTGTAATCATAATTTAATTGGAGATTATGAATATTTGAAGAGTCTTAAGTTAAATTTCGTTAGTTTTACGTTTTACATGACTAGAACTTTTATTTTGTCTTCGTGGTGGAGTTGAGTGGTTGCAAGCGCGACTACGAAGTATCCCTTAGTCAGCGACATAAAATTATTAGAACTTTTTCGATTCTTTGAAAATTTTTCATTTGTTATAACAGTGACTGGAGGTATACAGTTAACCCCCATTATATCGTCGATTAACTGGAAAAATGGCATAAAACGTTATTACATAAAACGAGGCTAGTAACCAGATTATTTTATATGTAAAACGACACTTTTAACCTCTCAAGCGTCCTTATGAGCACCCGGTGGATCATAAGAAAAAATGCTCCATGCTGTTCTCTTTTATAAAATCTATTATTAATGTTTTGTTTTTATTTTTACTGTATTTGTTTTATTTCTATTGTAATGATCCTGGTTTTCGTGTGCCAATGGCCAAATAAATGCATTTTCTTGCATGCATAAGGATAAGGAAATGCATAAGGAACGCGGACGCTCGACGGGTTAATAATTCACGCCAACTTCACTTATTTCGATTCAAACAACGTTTAACGAAATCAAAAACTTTATGCGCTTGTACTTTAATACTAGTCCTTTCTGTATTACGTCAATTTTCTATTAAACCGACAATATGAGACTCACAACTGGTGAAAAGTGACTGATATATTGTCTATTTACACTTCTACCTAACCTTTTGGGAAATAAAAGGCGCGACAATATGTCTTGTTGTGTTACAAACATTTTGAAACAGAAACCTCCAACTGGCTATTCAACAAGATCTACTGATTAACAGATTAAAGTCAGTCTGCAGTTCAATAGTGTCAGCTGTCTAAAGTTTTGTTGCATTCATTGTGGATTGTGGATTGCAGTCCTAGTTTTGAATGAAACTTTTACAAAAGACTATTCTTTATCTAGATGAATGTTAAAGCAATGAAGAGTCGTTTATGACATATTTATTTCAATTAAAATACTATAACATAGCCATAAAACCAAGGCGTTATACATTTCAAATAATTATTAAAAAAAAAATCAGAGATAGGTCCTTAAATGACAAATTGTAAACTTGGTAGAAAAATATAAAACATTGTAAAACTATATTATATATTCTGATAGGACAAGTGATAGAAATGATAAGTAAAACATAATAAATAAATAAAAAAAGTGTAATTGCTGAGTAAAGGCTTTTACGTTCATTATTTTTTTTTGTTTTCTTTTTTAAACGTTGCCCCCACTAGGATTTTCTCCTGTGTCGTGGGTGCGTTTATAAAAATACAAGTTCACATACACATCACACCCGAAACAACTATTTGTGGATCACACAAAGTGTTGTTCCGTGCGGGAATCGAACCCGCGACACGTTGCTCGGCAGCCGGTTGCCCAGCCACCGCACCAACCGTCCAGTCAAATTATATTTAGTATCCTCTATAAATAGGTTGCTTAATGAACGACGTGCTCCATCGTAGGGCGCATCATCGCTTACCATCAGGCGAGATGGCTGCCAAACGTCGGCCAAAAACCATCCTCTGTCAGTTCATAAATCAAACATTCATAGACATTAAACTCGAGGTTTACTTCGGAAGCCGGAATACATGATAAATTACATTTTGTTATGTCTAATGTACAATAACAACAGTCTATTTAAAGAAAAAAAAAAAACTAAAAATACATACTTTTTTCTTTTGCACGTCACAAGATAACAAACCTCCGCGTATTGATCTCAAAGAGAGGTCTAAAAAATGTGATTGTGATCTATGACAGGGGATTGAACCAGCTATTTGTGGATTCTTGAGAGTGCAGGCAATCCATCAGTCAATTTGCGCACAAAGCTCTTACGACGCGCATTCGAAAATAGAATCTGTGGTGTATTGTTTTATCTATGGTTTATGGTTCATCCCGCCATTTTGTGCATTGTTATCATGTAACTAGACCTCGAAGATTTCTTTTTTTTTTTCAAAATTCTAAGAATGGTGTCTGCAATTAGGTGTCGTATTTGTCAAAAGGACTACTCTTTATGCTTTGAACTTTCTGAATTACGTTCATATTAACTCCTCATACTTTTTCGGTGCCAAATATTGTTAAACGTTCAAATATAAACGCGACGACCTGACAATTAATATGCATTGCATTTGCATATTATAGAAAAACAATGTCCAAACATGTTTCGTGCACCATCCTAGATTTAATTTCAGGGTATTATTACATGTTATATCTTAAACCACATACCGAAATATCTTCACTTACACCAGACCCTTGAGAACTGACTTCTACCAAATACCAACCGCTGAACTAAAGTTAGTTTACAAGCATAAGTGTGCTTACCCCACAGATAGCAGTGCCAAACTCCGGCGGGATGGCGTGCTCAACTTGTACCCGTTCCCTAGAGTCGGGCGGGCGTCAAGGAACACGTGGCAGCTACCTCTCAACGACCTCTATCTTGGTATGTTGGTTGATATGCTAACTAGAACTAATGTCGGTTACTTATAAACTAAATTTAAATAGTACCTATGTCTGTAGACAAAGATTAATATACTCAAAATAATTCTCAGATGTAAGCCTAATAAAGATATTGTTTATGTGTGATGTCTGCAAAAGTAGATTTCACAGTTTACGTAGAATCAAACGGTATGCTTACTTCTTGCAAGCAATGAGAAATTTTACTTTGAAACCATTTCCTTCCATAAAATTTAATCATTTGTGTAAAGTAACCTACAATCAGAACTTACGTGTTTATTGGTTAGGACATAGTAAAAAAAATGCTAAGCTACTTCTATGAAACCCATATATTCTTTGATGCTAAGCGACTCATTCAAAGACCTACTGACCAAGTCATAGAGCACAGTTTAGTTTCATTTTGCATATTGACTAAGAACACCTACAGTGTGTTCAAAGTGTTTTGCCATCTGCAAACTTTGACAGTCTCATGAGAAAACGAGACGCAAATATATGTAAGCAGAAGGCGAAACAGAGACAGATTCACTTATAAAGGGCAGTACAAATCAAACATACTATACCACTCAAATCAATTCAGATACAGGATGTCATATCTTGATGAACATTTTAGATCATTAATTGAGTGAAATTGTAATCAACTAATGAACCAATCCATTCAATACAGGGCTAAGATTATGAGATAACGGGTCAGGACGTTATCAGTTCTAAATCTTGATGCATTAGTATCAAGACAATTTAACCGGAATGAACTACTAATGGGCTGTTATCTGGCAAAAGGTGTCAAACTAAATACTAGATAACATTAAGGTTGTAATTCCATTGTTGATTTTAATCTACCGTAGACTGGTTTTTACGCGGGCCAAATTTTTAAAGGCTCCTAGATTTTGGGGAGTGTGGGATACTTGCCTCACTGAAACTAACCCGGTGGTCACCATCAGCCCGTACAATGGGCATCGGGTTCTGTTAAAGAACTTCTCATGAACAGCGTAGTGAGAAGCATAGTCGTGTTATAAACGTATTTTCTCTCTTAGAATACGAGCCATCAACAATGGAGAAGCGACAATTGTACGCGTTCCCGCGCGTCGGTCGCAGCGATTTGTCGCTGTCGCGCGTCGACTCTCACGAGTTCCAGCCCACAGCCGTTCGGCGCACTGACAGCCCTGGCATGTGGTTCGGACCCCGGCTCGGAAGGTCCTTCAAGAGTGATGATGATGGTAAGGAATTTTAATTTCGTTTATGCTGGTTTTCAGAAAAAATCGTTGCCTATCTAAGTATCCACTTACATATATGTACACACTGCCACACATCAATCTATACAAAACCAGTTTATCCTGGTGTCGCGTCGCATCATCTTTCCGCACATTTAACGTTCAGTTTATACTGGTTATGTAAAGCTCGAAGTGTAGCCGTGTGTACGAATATAACTGTCAAAACTAATATTATTGACAAAAATTCACTTTAATATTTGTTACACTTATCAATATAAATGCCCATTCGTTTCATACAACATTAACTGTCTTACATGGACTAATAGTATCGTTTGCCTCTGGAACAAATTAGTCCTATCATAATGTCTAATACAACTTTTTATCAGCAGAATTCACAGTGCAAAACGAAAACAACGACCATAGCGAGCCTGAACAGACGGAACCCGTGCACGAGGAGCGGAGGAAGAGGCAAACCTTGAACTAAATGTACCGCTATGATCACTGACGAATGAACCCTAAAATACGGCGCATATTGAACGAAAGTACTATTTGACATTTTAAACTAACTTCAAAAAAGGAGTTTTAATATCATGCTGTATATGAAGTGTCTTTTCATTGGCTGGTTCGATTTGAGATTTAGAACGCTAAAATAATTTTTGAAATTTCTGACAACTGGCTGATTATTTATAGCCAGTAAACGCACTCATATTTTGTTATGTTCACCTTAAGACAGAAATATTAGTCATATAGACAGTCGGTAATATGCGCCGTATCTTAGTACCATAGACTAATTTAAAAATTACGAGTAGATGACACTAGTTGTACCGCCGAAACGCCTACACACAATTATTAAAAGAATAAATTAATTATTATTGCATTAAATTATTAATTGTAATCATAATGTAAATCGACCGTCAACATTATTGTAAGAATTAAATGTAAGTACTAAATGTATTTAGTAATTTTAATGTTTATTAATAAGTATTCATTGCCAAATTTATTTCTTAGGCTGGGCGGGTTTAATTCTTCCGTTTAGATAAATCCGTGAAATGATTTTGGCAATTTATTATTATTATTAAAAATAATATAAAAAATTGAATCTGATTGTTTATGGAATTCTAATTTATTGAAATAAAGATCAGTCCGATATGTCTTTTGTTTTCTTTCTATTGTTTTGTACAATGGCCAAACGCCGTCGAATAAAACAACCAATAAAAACATCTAAGCAAGGATTTAGGAACTTAGTGCTATATCAGTATTAGAAAATATTATTAAACAATATAAATATTATTAGATCAAGAGAATTTAATATGAAACAGATATTTTGAACATGGAAGGTAAAAGAAATTCATTATTTGCACAACAGATTGAAAAGACTAACGACAACCGTTTATATATATATAGGTACGTTCCATTTCTCCCTACTTATTAAATATTGTATTATTTAAACGCTGAGATCATCCCGCCTCTAGCAGTGGCCGGCAAATTAAAAAGAATCAACATCCTACTTGTCTAGGATTAAAAATTGTTCTCGTTTTGTAGAAAAATATTTCTATAAATATCAGAAACTAGATTATTTCAGAGAAATACGGATTATTTTGTTCGGGTCGTCTCTTTTTTGCGTTTTTTGTTCAAACACGTGCTTCGAGATTAAAATATTGGTTTCATGGTTTAGTTCTGAACGCTTGAGTGAAGTTTTGGTTGATATTTAAGTCAGATGAGGTGTTACCCTGAAGGGGTAGGCAGAAGTGCATTTAATGCCACTGTACAATGTAACACCTACTTTTCATTGTTTATGTTATCAGTCTCATGTAATAGGGGGTGAGCCTATTGCCATAATCCTGGCACAATTCCGGACTCCATGCCACTAGTAAGAATTTTTATTAAAAACGTAGTAATTTCTTTGCCCGTCCCGGAAATCCAATCCGAGAGCCTTTGCCCGGCAGTCCCACTTGCGATCACTCGGCCAACGAGGCAGTCATAAGATTAAGAAACGTTTATTACTGAGGTGGAGAATGATATATGTATGACCTTCATGGTTGTTTTCTTATGAACAGTACAGTCTAATACACGCCCATTATAATTTGATGTCTAATTACACGAAAAGCTTGTTAACTTGAGGTCAACTTAACTGGATAATATGTGTAGTTAGTGCAGACACACATTGCTTTGGTTCATACTATAAGTTAGTGCAGATGACTAACTTTACAAAGACAACTATCTACGGTACACATGGGATAGAGGTTGAACTTGTAACCCAAGTTTACAATTCCGTTTCAAGGTGTCCCAAGTCGTGTGATGATGTCCTGGTCCCTGATTCAATCGAAAACACAAGTATGACTTTCAAAGTCAAAGTCAAAGTCAAAATCGTTTATTTCAGTTAGTTCAGTAACGCACTTTTGAACGTCAAAACAAAATATTACAAAATTGTAGTATTTAAAGTATTCTATGTATTTAGAATTCAAAGACTTCATCAATATTAACAACAGCTCATGGGAATCCACTGCTATAATGATGGCTGGAATCTCAGCACCTTGTTTCTGATAGGTGAAAATTGCTGTTGAAAAGGTTTAGCGCATTGCTGCCCAGCCCTTATCAAATGTGTATAGTGATAATTGTATTCTGCTGTCACCAACTAATTCATCTGATATAACTTGCAGGAAACAATGTGGTAACATATCTAGCAAACTCGGGTTCGAACACTGAGTCAGGATTCAATCCTCAAAAATTTGAGTAGCTAGCGTTTGAAATCGGGCCCCGTATTATAGGGGCTGTTACATGAGCCACGTTACATAAATGGTGGAAAGTGGGTATTATAAAAACAAACACTATTATAAAAACAAAAGTGGGTGTTACATTGTATGCGCCTGATGTTTTCTTACGATGATTAAAGCAAAAATAAACAAACAATAACATAAGATATAAGTATGTGTTTCAACTATAAAACTATTTTTATATGCATTCTCGTGTAACCTCATAATACCTTTAATAGTAGGGATAAATGCATAATCTTCGTTTGCACAACATTCGTAGCGCTACGTGCTACGGGCTACGACGCTACGAGCTACGTGCTACGTTTTTGTAAAATGCTACGTCAAAACGATGAAGGTATAATGGTTATTCGCTTAATAGTTGTAAATGGGAATATTATTGGTAGTATTTATTGTTTTAGTGTCTAATAGGGTGTAAGTTTTGACTGCAAAGAATCCTTTAAGTGCAGACAGAGTGTTGATCATACGAACTTCTTATGACAATTTCCGATTTTCTTTCATCAGTAAGAAACCATTCATATAGGGACTTGTTAGAAAGTCAAGTGTGGGAGAGCCATGCTTCAGCACGAATGAGCCGGCTCGACCGACGTGAAACAACGCACGCGTTGTGTTACGTCGTGTCAGTGAGGTTACCGGAGGCCCAATTATCGCCTCCACAATCTCCACGATTCCCGAATCCTCCACAATCCTCAAATTCCCAATTCCAAAAAGGCCAGTAACGCACTTTTAACGCCTTGGTGTTTCGGGCGTCCATAGGCGGCGCCAATTGTTTACCATCAGGTGATCCGTCTGCTCGTTTACCGGAATATGCCATAAAAAAAGTATTCTAATTATCAATCTATTTATTGGCAATAATAATTATGTTTATATTATAACTTTATTTAATTATATTGTAATTATTTTGTGCTGATAAATGTTTGCTTTTAATTTTCTTTTTTAACTTTATTTGTTGCAATGCAGTAGTGTAGCTCAAAACTCAAATACTCTTACTTAGCCTCCAAGCTAATAAATAACAGGGATAACTCCTTTTCAGTGTGGTATTAGAGCAATGGCCGACACAACAACACACGTGCACGCCTGTTGAATCAATATATTTATTTAAAACAAAGAAGGGTTTGTGCCCGCAATATTTTTGTTTATTTCCCACGGATAACGGATCATCCACACACTATAGAGGACACGTCTTATTGCAAGCGATGTGCTTTAAAACCATCCATTATATTGGAGTTTCAGACATATTTTTTTAATCATAGTTTGTAAAGAATCGTTGTCTCCTATTTGCTTTTCTGGTCTCGGTTCCAATTCTCGTGACATTTTCTTTATTACGTACACCAAGACCAGGGCGGTGCAGTAGGTGATAATGTTAAATATTATTTAAGTATGTATATTTTCAGTTAGATTTTTGATGAATTTTTAAAAGTACAGTTCTGTGTTGTAACGCACTTTCTCTTTCTTTGATATATTTGTAATTTTTTTTTTAAAAACATTGCAATTTTCTCCTGTCTTTTCGGTGCGTTTACAAACATACTTTCATATACAAATGACACCCAGACATGGAATAACAATCTGTGGATCACACAAAGAGCTGTTACGTACAGGAATCGAATCCACCACTCGTTGCGCGGCCGCCAGTTGCCCAGCCAGTACGCCAACCGCGAAGAAGAAGAATTTTGGCTATTCTTGTTTTTTATTCAAAATAACTAACACATTACATTTTGGCATTTTTCACCTGTTTTATTATGAAGAGCCATATCTATCTATATAAATAAAAATTAATTTCTGTTCGTTAGTCTCACTAAAACTCGAGAACGGCTGAACCGATTTGCCTAATGTTGGTCTTGAAATGTTCGTGGAAGTCCAGGGAAGGTTTAAAAGGTGAGAAAAACTATTTAGGCGGTACGAAGTTTGCCGGGCCAGCTAAATAGTTATAAATAAATGTTTCAAAAAGCTTAAATCTTCTCATCGCCTTTGCCCTGCCTTCATTACACAACAAGCACAAAACAATAACGTCACCCTTACACAATCATTGCAACCGAGTTTTACTAAATAAGTAATGTCCAAACAGTGAGCCGTGTGCGGCGGACAAAACAGGAGATTTTGCGACCTGTCCGGATTATGGTACGTGTTCAGTGGTAGCTGCCTATTTCTGCGCTGTGGTTGTTGGTGCACCACTGTGCACTGTTGTGACAGCTGAACCAGTAAAGGATTAACAAGTATGGTTTGTTGTGAGCGCTATGTATTTTTGCATTGGTCTGATCATCTTTTTGTTTTTTATCCGTGCGTTGGTCTTACTTTTCATGTACGATGTTCTGATTTCTGTGTTTTTATTGAAATACAATGCAAACTGCTGAGAACTTCGACTTCGAGTGTAAATTAACATTATTTTTGTAGAAACATGAAGAAAGTAAAAGAAATTATTACGTTAAAATTAATTTATTTCATTTTATGACGTATAAAAACCGACTGTACCTTTTTTACTCAAACAATCGTCTTTCAACTTACAAATTATATAGTTTCATGGTACAGATTTTCATACCTTTTATATTTTTATTATCTATTTTTTTTTTCTTATAGGCAATGTATGCTATACAATAAGATAAAACTAAATACCAATATAATTAATAAACCCTATAATAATACAAGCAAACAGCAAGAGCGACGAATAACGCTGTGGTAGTGGTGGGACTCATGGAATCAGCACTGTTACAGAAATCAGTAGAACACTGACAGACCGTCTCCAGATGGTCACGGTTGTCAGCCCTGTAGCAGGGCTTCTCGTGACGAACCCAACCGCAGCCGCGGGTCACACGGAGCTCGGAGTCCTTGTGAGGATGGTAAACTGCAAAACAGAAATCAATAGTGTTGATATTTTCAAAGTGAAAATAAATACGGTCGTTTCTTAATTTTTGTTTTAATGTCCGTCAAGTAGATTAATTTAAAATATTAGACACATATTTTGTATTTTCGTAAAAAAATATTACAAAATATAATAATATACTAACTGGTCTGCACAATCTTCCTACAGAAGAATTCATATTGTTCCACTCGGTTGACAGCAGTGTTGCAGTCGATGACGGGTATGATGCGGCTGCGGACCTCGTCATCAAACTGTGTCGGATCGATACAGGCTGAGTTGTTCGCGCTGTTGCAGTAGAAACAGTATATGGCTGACGCTGGAAAACGTAAAATAATTTTGTTAAAACCTTCGGCCACCAGAGGGCGTAGTAGGATTTTGTTCTATGTTTAAAGTAATCGAAACGAGACCGCGTTAGGCGTTCGTATTGGTGGGTTCATTGGAGTCGGCCGACAGAGTTTCATTAAAATCAGCTATCAACTATTTTCTGATCTTTTAAATTTTAAATCGACTTCAAGTTAAGCTGTTTTATTTTAGTAAGTGTGTACTGAATTTTGTATCTATAGGATCATCAGGATCATCAATTTTGTATCTATAGGGCTGACGTTTTCCTCTTAGGAAAAAAGCCCTTCTTATAAAATAACGATTAAAAAACCCACTTCAAAAAAGGAGGTTCTCAGTTTCACTGGGTGTATGTATGTTTGTGCGCGTAAATCTCGCGATTGGCTGAACTGATTTTGATGCGGTTTTCAGAAAATTACCAGTATATTAATTAACCGTCTTCAAAAAAAAAGGGGATTGAAATCGGTCTTTTTAAACGCAGTTTATGTAAAACTATATTATTATGATTGATGTGTGTTATAATAAAAACTAAGTAACTACTAAAGACATTTTGGTTTTTACCTACCTACAAGTGACATATAAGAATACAAGTAAGGTATAGGTTAAGTGCTACCTCATGGTTAGTAACTTTTAGTTAAGAGATGGCTTAGGGGTTATTGATAAAAACGGCCAAGAGTCTATCTAACAAATTTAAAAGGCTATATATACTTATATAAAATTGATTTTATTTCCCTTGGTCACGGCATCACGCTCGAACGGCTGGACCGATTTCACTAATTTTTCTTTTATTGTATTTGTTATTGTTAAGAGAAGAAAAAATCCTGAAAGTCCTACGGGAACAGGAGAAAACGGGATTGAATATAAAAGGTAGTTTTTATGAATGTTAGATCAACACATTGTTCTCTGGAATAGATTTTTTACTTACATTTGTAAACCAACGATAAAAATATCGTTATTGTTATCACCAAGTTGTTTGAAGACATCTTCGTAATCTGCAAAAATAACATTAATTCAATTGCGTCGGAAATTATACAACACTTATTTATGTACCAAAAAATTTAAACGAGTTAGGATGAACAGTAACACGAAATAGAATTTTGAGCTTCTTTGTTATAGTACCATAACATAACATTACGCCTTTAATCCTCAAAGCAGTAGCCAGAGGTGCATATTGCGGCACTTAATGCCACTGTACAACGTAACACCCAGTTTTCACTATTTATGTCATGAGTCCCATGTAATAGGGAGTGAGCCTATTGCCATATACCGGGCACTATTTCAGTCTCATAAACCATTACTATTACACTCCCTCCTGCCTCACCCAGGCGGGAGAATTCATACGATGATTTTCTTCCCTTAAAAAAAGGTGCGATGGTGGGGCAAAGAAAAAGAAGAATTTTAGAAGAAGGTAAGTTGAATTGTCTGCCATAGGACACCTAAACAGCTTAATAACATTTTACAAAGTTTTCATACGAAACTAATCGACGAAAAGCACCTAAAGATCTCTAAGTCGCCATGAATACCTCTAATAACTTTCTTTTAACACAAATTACAAACATAATGCGTCCCTAATAAGACTTATTCACCCTTTCAGCATTACTTTAAGACTATTATTACAGTAAAAGGTCGGAAGTCATTAAAAAACTGTTTTTGTAATGGAGTTCAGTTGTAAGAGATAAATAATAATTTGTTCAAATTATGGCTTGACGGCAATGCAGCCTGTGTGAAAACCGAGACGCCCCCTCCCCCTTTTTTTCTCGCATAGAAGACATTATGAAGGGTTGAAATCAATCTTGAACAAGGCACTAAACGTCTAGGACTCATTTTCTATTCTATCCCGATATGGAGCCGTGAAAGGACTAACGGGTTGCCGGGGCTCCAGCTCAAAGAGCAGGGTAGATTTTAGTCAGTAAGAGTCTGACACTCCTCGCCTCACCCAAGGCGGGAGAAGTCATTGGATGATTTCCCCCTCAAAAAAAGACTAATGTTCTATTTATACGTTGTCTTTTTAGTCAAGCTCATGATTTAATTTCTAAATCATATAAATCTTTGGTCAAATATAGTAAAAGTTTGTTGGTCGGAGCAGAAAACGGTACAGGATTTTGCAATTTAAAATGGTACCCAATTTGTGGCAATGGTCTCTATTATATGAGGTCCACACCTTACTAACCATAAGTATAATAACGAGTCATTTTTATCCAACATTTCTTTAAAGTAATATCTACCTAAATGCTAATTATATAGCAAACCATAAGAAAGTACTTACATTCAAATTTAAACGAAACTTGAACACTTTAAATACACAAGATGTTTGTTATATATTGAATTTAAGTGTAATATCTTTAATTTAGGAGGTCACAACGATACCGTACCACACTTGTATTGCTCACATAGATAACTGAGGAAGCTCCTAAATAATATATCATTACATAATTGTACACGTATGTATGTCTGTCACGATGTTCGTAACTACTCCAATCCAACCTGCAAGTCTTGAGCAGTAGTTTATTATTTTAATTTAATACAATATTTTTAAATTATTATTAGCCGCCGTGGTGGCCGTATTTTGTTCAATAGATAGTCTGTCAGTCAATCAATCATTCTGTCAGTAAATCTGTCAGTTGGGTAGTCAGTCAGTCAGTCAAAAACTCGGTAAATCAGTCATTAATCAGCCTGGAGTATGCTCCAGTTTCTTTGATTCAACAAAACATAATACAAAACTGTAATGAATCAACTTTTACCCTATTGTAAAAGTTGATGTCTAATTTTTATTTTAATATCCGTCTGGTAGATTATTTTAAATCATGAGACACGTATTTTTTATTTTCTTACAGAAACTAATACTTTGAAATGTCGCGTGACGTCACTTCTATATACATTTTATACGTAGAAATGACGTTTTAGCACCCACTCCTAAACTTTGATTCGTTTTATCTAAGTATTGTTTTATTATACGACAAAATAAAAAAATACGTGTCTAATATTTTTTCATTACCTAACTTACGGACTTACTAGATTTTTAATTTTCATACCCTGTCATCATCCCTATAACGAATTAGTAAACATAAGGATAGAATACTAACGGTAGCCTTATTGTCCATTGCCAAACAAACACACAAACCGATTAACATACTTATAAATGTTACTGACATTATCAAATTTCTAACAAGTAAAGCTATTTCAACACATTTGTTTGTCAAATTGGAAGGACTGTTGAATGACCTTATCGATAGCTCGTCAGTGCGATGACCTCTTGGCTTGCTATATCTTAGCTGTCATAGCTAAGTGAATTATATCACTACAATAATAACTTGTTTCCTTAATTATAGTTAGGTCTGATACTTAAAACATCATTTAATGATTTTTTATGGGATATACCGGTAAACGAGCAGACGGATCATGTACACCCGCAACACCAGAGGCGTTACAAGTGCGTTACCGGCCTTTTGGGGATTAGGAATTTAAGGATTGTTGAGGATTTAGAGATTGGAGGGGGGATAATTGGGTCTCTAGTAACCACACTCACACGACGAAACACAACGCAAGAGGTGTTTCACGTCGGTTCTGTGAGGCCGTGGTATCACTCCAGTCGAACCAGCCCATTCGTGCCGAAGCATGGCTCTTCCACCCTTTTAGTGTACCTACTATGAAGTCGGTTAATTTAATAATTAAAATGTTGCTCCAATCTAGGATTTTCTCCTGTGTCATGGGTGCGTTTACAAACACAAGTTCACATACACATGACACCCAGACCCGAAACAACAATTTGTGGATCACAGGGATCACACAAAGAGTTGCTGTGTGCGGGAATCGAACCCACTACACTTTGCACGGCAGCCCACCGTGCCAACCGTGCAATAATCACAAAGTGCAAAGCTTTCTTACTACATAATTGTAACCATAGATAGCGTAAATTGAATGCAAGTCATCATCACAAATTACTTTCCTGATCGTGGATCTATCGAGACCCAGTCACCATGCTAATCATGCAGTCACCTAAAGTCCGGAACATGAGACCCAAGTTCAGTCATACATACAGCCAGGCTCCACTTAATATGTGCTTAAAACTTCATCATAACATTACGCCTTATATTTCCGAAGGTTTAGGCAGAGGTGCACATTACGGCACCTAATGCCACTGTACAATGTAACACCCACTTTTCACTATTAATGTTATGGGTCCCATGTAATAGGGGGTGAGCCTTTTGCCGTCTACCATACTCTGTGCTACAACTGAGTTTTTTTTTAAACCCAGTAATACATTGCCCGACCCAGGAATCGCATCCGAGACCCCTTGCCCGGCAGTCGCACTTGCGACCACTCGGCCAATGAGGCAGTTTGCCTAAAACTTATAATTATTATTTTAACCACTATAATATTGCCCCTCTGGTTTAATTCGCGGTTAGGTGCTAATTAATACCATTACAGTTTGTGTTTGACATTTTATCGGTAATCAAATCCGCCATGTATAATGTATATATCGCAGCAACAACATAATAACATCAACCTTGTCTACTACCATGAAGGGTAGGCAGAAGTGGGAATGAGTTTTGATTTTAATATTTGAAATCACATATGGTTGCTTGATGACTACGACTACGACTTTTGTTCAGTGGTATGATGAATTAGCACTTTTTCAATTATTAAGTTCCTATTTTTTGTGTAGGTGTACCTAACTTGATATACAAGCCTATAACATTAATCTTATATGTATTCTAGAATGGTATATATAGCCTAGGTACCTATAGTAGAAAGGTATAAGGACATCCTTGCATACTATTGCAATCCTTCAGTCTTTGAAACTTGATCCTTGACTTTAAAAGGTTTCAGGAATTCTTCGTGTACCACAATAGTCTTGATACTTGAACTGTTCCTATAAAAAAAAACCTCGAATGATATATTTAATTTGATAAACCTGAAATCAGTCAATCAGTCAAAAGATAAGCTCGTAAAGAGATATTACGGATAATTATTGGAGGCAAGGAGTCTCGGGTTCAATTCCCAGGTCGGGCAAAGTATTATTGGGATTTTTAAATTTTTTCAGTAGTGGCACGGAGTTTGGAATCGTGCCGAGTATATGGCAATAGGCTCACCCCCTATTACACGGGATTCATAACATAAATAGTGAAAAGGTATTACATTGTACAATGGCCATTAAGTGCTGTAATGTTCACTTCTGCCTACCTCTTCGAGGATAAAAGGTGTGATGCTATTGGAGGTATCGATTTTGTAGTATGGAGTCTAGATGTTGTGCACGTTTCATGCTTACGTTTAGTCGCGCGTTCGATTCCGTCTCGAATTATGTATTATTTTTCAAAAGTACACACACATTATATCTTTGTAATACATAAAATTACAACCCTGTTATTACACATTTTCTCCATTAATTAATACCACGAATTCGGCATAAATGGGCCGGCTCGACCGGAGTGATACCACGGCCTCACAGAAAACCGACGTGAAGCAAAGCTTGCGTTGTGTTTCGTCTTGTGAGTGAGATATCTGGAGTCCCAGTTCCCTCCCCCCTACTTCAATCTCCCCAATCCCCGAATCCCCAACAATTCTCAAACTCCTAATCCCCAAAAGGCCGGTAACGCACTTGTAATGCCTCTGGTGTTCGAGGTGTTCATGGGCGACGCCGATTGCTTACCATCAGGTGAACCGTCTGCTCGTTTAACGGCATGCCATAAAAAAATACCACAGAATATCATCACAAGTCACAACCACCAACGCGGTTGTCAAATAAATGTCTCCATTAAAAAAAACATTTAAAAAAAAGCCAATTTTATTTTTATAAAAGCGGATGTCCGGTGGTAGCCCCTTGGCTGAACAAGCAACATCAAATACTTACAATAAATCAAATCAAGTTTTTTTTTTAATATTCAATCACTGCCCTTTGAAGCTTTTTAACAAAATCGACGGCTTAATTAAAAATGGCCGTCGGAACGTTGGCCGAATTTTTTATTTCGCTTCTCTCTGAATATTTTTGAGGGCGATAAAATGTTCGCGTGTATATAGTGTAGTTTTTTTTGTAGACTGTATTTTGTTTTTGTCTGTTGTGTCTTTATGGGCGATTGCTTTGTGGAATAGAGTACCTAATGAATTAGACTATAGAGTTGATTTAGATTTTGTGTTTGTTACTTTTCTGTACGTAAGTAATATATTTTTTGTCGCTACACATTCGTTGTAAAACGACAAAGACGGCACGATATTTAAGTACAATTTAAAATTGAGTAGCCTTTCAGTATTCGGGCAATAGTATTAGTCTATACATAACATAACACGTTTAAGTGTGGGTGAGCCATGCTTCGGCACGAATGGGCCGGCTCGACCGGAGTGATACCACGGCCTCACAGAAAACCGACGTGAAGCAACGCTTGCGTTGTGTTTCGTCGTGTGAGTGAGGTTACCGGAGGCCCAATTACCTTCCCCTTCCCCAATCTCCCCAATCCCTGAATCCCCAACGATCCTCAAACTCCTAATCCCCAAAAAGCCGGTGACGCACTTGTAACGCCTCTGGTGTTCTAGGTGTCCATGGGTGACGCCGATTGCTTACCATCAGGTGATCCGTCTGCTCGTTTACCGGCTAATATATTCCATAAAAAAAAAAAAAAAAATAACTTCATGCCTTTTATCCCCGAAGGGGTAGGCAGAGGTGCACATTATGCCACTGTACAATGTAACACCCACTTTTTACTATTTATGTTATGAGTCCCATGTAATAGGGGGTGAGCCTATTGCCATATAGCGGGCACAATTCCAGTCTCCGTGCTATTACTGGGATTATTTTTAAAAACCCAGTAATACTTTGCCCGACCCGGGAATCGAACCCGAGACCCCTTGCCCGACAGTTGCACTTGCGACTACTCGGCCAACCACTGCCTCAAATATAAATTCAAGATAAAATATAAATGACAATATCGTCCCACACAAACAACAAAACAATATTCTTCACTACCCATCACTGTTTGACGTCAAAAAAAAACCAACTAAAGTCCAAAAGACAAATCAACGTATCAATAAAATAGCAATACACATCTATAAAACTTCGACACAAAAAAACAAAGACTACTTCGATATATCGAAAGGTTTCATTATTTCAATTCGAAGTTGTTTTTACAACTTAAAATAACATGGCATAACTTTTTCTCGCGAAACTTGTACCATATTACCATAGAATAACAATGTATGAATAAGTGTGAGAGCGCTATGCTTCGGCACGAATGGGCCGGGTCGATGATGGTTATACCACGGCCTTACAAAAAACCGACGTGAAACAACGCTTGCGTTGTGTTTCGTGAGGTTAGCGAAGGCCCAATTACTCTCCCCCCCTCCTCAATCTGTGAATCCGCAACCATCCTCAAATTCCTAATCCCCAAAAGGCGGGTAACGCACTTATAACGCCACTGGTGTTTCAGGTTGCCATAAGCAATTGCTTACCATCAGGTGATCCGTCCGCTCGTTTATCGGCTTATGCCATAAGAAATGATCATGAATTTTAAAAAGTCATATTATAAGGATATTATTCTAGATATACTAACAACTCTGTGTATATACCTATTGGACATGTTTCAAGAAGGTTACGTAAACATGTTCATCTAAGTTAATTGAAGTTGCTGCAATTTGTTGTGGTTAATAATGATATCAGCAGAGGTGGTGGACCGCGTTAAATGTTGGCAATACAGTTAAGTGCATACAGTATTAATGCGGCTAGATATTGATGGGTTGTCACCTCACGGACTAAGCTTTACACGCCGGTTTGTTCGTGGTAAGGTAATATAGAAACATATGGTTCAGAATTGTATTGTGAACCTGATTGAAAAAGAGTAATCTGTGGAGTTTCTTGCTCGTTCTTCTCCATAAGAATCTACAATTTGGAATGAGCAAATAGCTGCACTGGCTATGACTGGCAGAGAATGCTGTTAGCATTAAGTCTTCCTTATGCAATGGTATAAAACTTAAATAAATAAATAAAAGTGCCTTCCTGGTCTAACTGAAATAAATAATTTTGTCTTTGACTTTGACTTGTCTTTATACTTTAATTACAAACGAAGTTTTGATTGGTCTGATTACTTTGTTTGTTGAGGGATTATAAGGTAAAGTGAAGTGAGATGTCTTACATTCGATTCATAACACTGACAAAGACTCCTAATTGTTTAAGACATGTATGATTTATGTAGTAGGGACCTGAAATGAGTATCGCTTTGAATCGGGGCGGGCTACTTATGCCTGCGGGGAATACAGATGATATAATATCAGTCTACGACAACGTGACGACCTTTTATTTAGTTTAGTTCTTTAATTAGGTATAAAAATGAAACTGAATTATTTTATAAAACAACATGCCTAGCCTAGACTTAATTGATGTCCCAATTAAATTAGTTACCAAGATATTTTAATTTTGGTTATGTTTTTTTAAACGTGAAAGTAGTACAGAGATCTTTCATTACAATTAAGCTTATTTTGGTATTGTCTATCTGTATTTACTCTAATTAAAACTTAAAACAGACATCCGGAAGGTAGCTGGCAGTGGTTGGATGAGAAGAGCTGAAAACCGAGCTCAGTGGCGTGCCATTGGAGAGGCCTGTCCAGCAGTGGACGAATACTGCCTGATGAGGGTGATGATGAAAACTTAAAATCAAACATGGTTCAATTTCAAAATGGACGGTCATTTCAAAAGACAAATCCACAAACAAACTGACACACTAACGAATGGACATTCGCCCTTTGATATACAATAATAGCATTTACTCCAATTAATACAAGTACTACAATAACCATTAGTATCAGATCTACTTTTACCTACCTCTATATCCTCCAGTCCTTATTCAGACTTGATCAGGCAGCAACTAGGTCAACACAAAACAGTATTTAATCCTCAATTTTCCAAAAAATGTTTGAATACCACAAAAATAAAATAAACGAAATCAACAGCATACCAAATAATTTGTCCGTTGAAGAAAATCTCTACTTTCGAGATTTCTATTTGAAGGATTTCAAGTATATAAGTCCTGATGTCGTGAACTTGAATAAGAATAAGATAATTAATAAAGATGTCGAGAAGGTGGTGATCAATGAGAAGTTGGGACCGAAGTCTATGCTGGAGAAATGGATCAATGAAGTCATGAAAGGATTGAAGCAGTTCTTCTATCAAGGATCGCTGCATGGAGTTAAGTTAGTATTTTTTTTGAAGGGGAACATCGTCCACATCCTCATGGGTAGTGGTCTACTTTTCTCTGTTCGCTGGTTGTGGGAGATAACATTTTAGGCAAAAATACTAATTGTGTTTACAAGAATTTGAATTCTCATATTGTGTCATCATAAAGTTAATTTTAATTGGTGGCGAAGGTATGGTGGTATCCTATGGTATTCTTTTGAAGGTCTAACTGTAAAAGAAGCCTCATATTCTCCTTGACTCTTCTATTCAGAGGTGAAGAAATTTGCAAATGTTTGCTCTCTTTCTCATCCTTTTTCATTATCATCACCATCGCCATCATCATCATCAAAGGCCTCTCCTCTTGTCGTTTTTAAGCTGCATAGTCCATTACCTCTATTTGATAGGTACTCTAACAAAACAAAATGCATTTCATTTTCAGATACATCTTCGAACCTACATTTGGAAACAAGGAAAAGGCAACATGGGTGATCATCATGTTCATCAGCATCTTCATCTGTGCCGTGGTCATCATCCAGCTGTTCTGCAAGTGGACGTCCACACCTTTCGTCAATGTCATCGATTCTGTGCCCACTCCTATTTGGGCTGTGCCCTTCCCAACTGTGGTGATTTGTCCACATCTGCATGTTAAGATGTCTTATGCTAATGTTTCAGAGCTAGAAGGGTGAATATTAAATATCTGTATGTGTGTTATTTATGTGCGAATGTGTATTTTATAATTAACTTGTAGGATTCTGTAATGTAATCAAAGTTTACTTTACTTTAGTTTATTGAAACTGATTACTATAAAATTGTTGGATTTGTTGGTATTGGGTGAGATGTGTGTATGTGTAAATTTGTATGATTGTAAGCACATGAAAGGATATTCCAGTGAAAAAAGAAACTTTCTGTTCTTATAGTTATAATACTTTCGGTGACTTTTATTACGATTTTTTTTTCGTAATTTACACAAACTCATGTCTTGATATCTCCTTATTTGAAAAGCATATTTCAGTTCCTGCTAGTACCATCATCTATTACATGATTATATTTTCCACTACAACTACTATCCAGGAACTAGTTTCCCTGTTCCATAATGAATTTAGACGGAAACTCATTCATCATTTTCAAAGTGCAATCTCTACAAGATTGGATCACATTGCAAAAAATCCTTAAATTAATTTATGAGGAAAACATTGTACATTCTTTGAACTCGGAAGCTGGGTGTAATAAAGTCTTATTGTTGTTTTAGGTTACAGGAATTCTTTGCTGCCATGGTCTGCCCAAGGATGACGAAAGATAACAAATATTGGAGTACCCGTTTAGATGATATGCAGTTTCATATGCTTTCGGATTTCGTTGTTCAGGTATTAAATGGAGTTTAAAGGCTAGTTTTAAGTACACTTTTCCAATTTACTTTCAAACTTCATCACCTATAAATACTTACAAAATCAGAGAATATGTTATCTACCATTACCTACTTATCAGATTTGACATTCATTACTTCGTTATACATAGACACCAACAAATCAAACTACTCCAAAACTTAAAAGTTGTAGCAAATTATCAACTCTACTCCTCAAATAATATTTTTTATGGAATAAGCCTCATATGAGCAGACGGATCACCTGATGATAAACAATCGGCGTCGCCCATTCGGCGGCATCTGGAACACCAGACGCGTTACAAGTGCGTTACCGGCCGTTAGAGGATTAGGAGTTTCAAGATCATTGGGGATTCAGGGATTGGGGAGATTGGGGAATGGGAAGGGCGGTAATTGGGCTTCCAGTAACCTCACTCGCACGATGAAACACAACGCAAGCGTTGCTTCACGTCGGTTTTCAGTAAGAACGTGGTATTACTCCGGTCGAGCCGGCCCACTCGTGCCGGAACATGACTCTTCTATATTTGAAGGGTGTAAGGCTTAATAAGGGTTGAACTAGCTTGTTATGGCGACATCTATACCGACAATCAGAAATAATCAAACTTTAATGTTTCCAGGGAGCTCCCTCTTGTCCGGAAGTTGTGAAAGCCTGCAACTGGCCAGCTCTGCATGATACAAAGTGGGAGATGGACAAATGCTGTGAGCTGTTCCAGCCTATTTTCACAAACTATGGATTGTGCTTCGCTTTTAATAGTTTGCCACTAAATGCTATGTAAGTAATCTCTTTTTTAGGTGGTCTGACAAAGAATAGTTTTAATATGCTAGATAGGTACTGGGAAGTACCTAATTAGAATTAGCAGTCAACTTCAATACTATGCCAGTTATATATATTGAGTATAGAATGGTATATGTCCGTCTATACCACACCCAGATTAACGATATATTAAAGAAGGGCCAATTAAAAGTACCCTTAACCGACGAACATGCATGAAAAGTTTGATGACTGTTGAAGCGAAAGAGGTATGTAGGAATCGTAAGAATTGGCGTTCCATAGTCTCTGTCTTCCTCCATGGGAGACAGGCGTGAAGTGTATGTATGTATGTAGTATTGAATAGTTATGTAACATTAATCCTGATTAAAGTATTATAGATGATGGTCTATCAGACATAAGCTTTAAAAGATATTCCGAATTATCTAATTAATCTATTCATCTAATATTTCTCCTAGGACCAACGATACCCTAGCTTGGCACAAGACCTACGATGTGGAAGCGACACCAGCAGCTTTGAACTGGGGTTTAGACATCGGGTACCCGAAAGTGTTTCCACCAAACCTAACGATGAAGCCTCTAAGAGTTATGGCGTCTGGAGAAGCCAATGGCTTGGGTGTCGAACTGTTCCTGAACAATACTGAACATCAGTATGCTTGTGAAGGAAAGAGCTTGGGATTCACCGTAAGAAAATCATTCTCTGCATTAACTAAAAATCGCGGGGTACTCTCGTGAATATTTGAGAAAAGCTCTACTGATTTCTCATGAGCTGCGTGCGCGGTAGCGGCGATGTCGCGCAGCCTACTACGACTAGCCTACTATAAAAACATCCCTGCATTTGTAAAAATGTCTTCAATAAACTTAAGTACCGAGTATTCGCCACGGTACCTACTCAAAAAGTTTGCTTTAGGAAGCTAAGAATAATACTAAGGTACACCTGCTTATCATCATCATCAGCTCTTTGTGTGATCCACTACAAAGCATTAGCCTCTTCCATGCTGCTTTCCCGCTTAACTCTTGTTCATTTAATTCACTTACACTCCACCAAGTTACAATATTTTATTCTACCTTTTCCAGATACTTATCAGCTCTCCAACCGACCACGTCTACACCAGCACCGTCCTCCGTCTACCGATGGACAGGATGACCACCATCGAAGTCACTCCTCTCACTTACAAGACAGACTTCTCCCTCCGAGCCCTCTCACCGTACAGGAGGCAATGCTTTTTCCAGAATGAGAAACGTCTGCAATATTATGAGTTCTATACTGACAGTAATTGCAAACATGATCTGTTAGTGCAGGAGGCTAGGAAGAAGTGCAACTGTGTGCTTTTTAATTGGCCCAGTAAGTATTATTACTTTGTTCTTTGACTCTTGGACTACTCATAGTAGACCTCTAAAGGTAATTCTTTCGGTTATATGCCTATAAGAGTCCTAATCAAAATATTAATTCTAACTTCATCATTTGAGACGATAGTCGATGATTCTCTTATAAACTACGTTTAATAAAACCGACTTCAACCCCCTCTTCTTTTTGAAGTTGGATAATTAATTAATATACCTACTAAAACCTTCTCCTAAGTGTAACTAACATTTTTCTGAAAACCGCATCAAAATCTATTCAGCCAGTCAAGAGATAATCGAGCACAAACATAGGTACAATCAATAACTAAGTATCACCTTCTTTTTTGAAGTCGATTAAAAATAAGTATATATAGACGTATTTCTTCTACAATACTATACGGCAAAAAGATTCATTGAAATGTTTAAATATCTATGATACCTACATATATCTCGACTGAGCCACAACGACGTGTAATTTGCGCCTTTAAACAAATAAGACAACATTAGTCCCTTCGCAGAACAAGTGAGGCGTATACCACGCCTCACGTGCAAATTTGTTTGAAGATGTATCTATTCGTTTTACTCTCGATTTTAGCCTACACGTGTATCACCTTCCTATAGAGAAGACCTTCCTTCATATGATCAATGCGTCCAAGTGTCTAAGTACACGGTTAGCCACTATATCCTTGTCTACAAATGGGTTCTTAATAAAAATAAAAAATAATTTCGAAAATCGATAAACGGTGAACAAACAAAAATCATACAGCCGAATTGAGAACCTCCACCTTTTTTTGGAAGTCGAATTAAAATTGCACAGAATGCAAGCAAAACTTTTTTCTTGTCTGGATTTTCATATAATTGGACGTTGAATAAGTATAGTGTAATAGTAAGTGCTAGAAAAACTATGCAAATGAATAATGTATTACAATTTTCAGGGAAATTCATCTGGGAGCCAGTCTGTACTACGAAAGATGATTTCGATTGCATTAGCAGTGTTGAAGGTTTGTCTAGAACAATTTAATTTTGAAATTATTTAAATAAAGGACTTTTTAAAATGTACGTAACATCTCGTGGGGTGAATAATAAAGAATTGTGAATTTGTTCATGGTTAAAGAGTCATTCAACTTTGTTTTTATAATAACTATCGTGAGACATACTTCATTACTTCATTGTGTGCGCGGTCGCGGCGATCATCGACATCGTGACACTGCTTATGAGGAAGTATCCGTATAGTAAGAAGTATGTACCCCTCTGTAGTTCGAAACTAGTAGAGCTTATCTCAGTATATTCACGAGTAACCTGTGATTTTTAGTTAAGTCATTCAACTTATAGTTTATGAGCCCTTAGAAAAATAAAGTGAAAAATATATACAGGGTGACCGGGCAGTTGACGTTCAAGCGTAAAATTTAGATACTTAATGATGAGGGAGGAGTATCCGAATCACCCCCCTGTATGTTCTACGATTTTGCGTAGTTTTTGAGTCATAATTTTTTTTAATGATATTTTTCGTAACTTTCACTTAACATCAATTTTCGATTTTTTTTTTCTCAATCTGTTGGACGTTTCTGGTTCAGATGTTTTGTGATAACTGACTGAAGTAGTCTAACCTTTTTTTTATTTTGGGAGGAACTTTCAAAAGATACCTCGCTTTTTGGGGCTAAAAGACTAGGGATTGTGGGATTATTACCTCACTAAAACCACCCCGGTGGCCACCCTCAACACCTGTATGAAGGCACCGGGTTCTCTAAAAGAGACCTGCTCTGAAGCTTCCACGGTGCAACGCTCGATACGACACATCCCTAGAGAGACGGGTATCTCCTTTAAGTCTTCTTGTGTATGGCGGCACGTGAACACTGTGCCACCGTCTTCCTTGAGACACTTAGATTTCCCGTGCTACGCACCCGTGGCCCCAAAGGCCCGCCTGAAGTTGATGCAGGCGGGTTTAACGTAGTCTAACCTAGCACCTTAAAACTTATGGTTTATCTAGGCGTTGCAGAAGTTACTTAGAATTTGTTTGAAAGTTCAAAATTACGATTTGAACATCAACTCCCTGGCCACCTTTTGGCTAATGATAGGTAGACACCGAATTAAACATTCTGGGTATCTCAAGTAGAGATCAAACACTTTGGAGTAGCAGTGGCCTAGCGTATCTTGGCGGAGCCCCGTTTAAAAATTTGTTCCTAGGGGCCCTTATGAAAGGTTAAAATGATTTGTAAAGGTGATTTTTTTACATAAAATACCTCCTCTGCCCAAATTATCGGACAATGATTAGGTACTTTAGTTTTTCCAAAGTTTTTGCCATGGATAGATTTCTCTATTCCATGGATGGTTTCTGCCAACGTTTGAACGCATGCATTTTGTGATTACTGAAATAAAATATAAATTGAGAAGTTTTTAAATTGTTGCTTACACACGTTGGGGGCCCCCGTAGTCCGGAGGCCCCATATAATTGATACGGCAGATACGGCGCTAGCTACGCCCCTGTGGAGTAGAGCATTCCTACAATCCAGAAACGGACTTTAACGGGTAGTTTACTACTAGGTATACTTTTTCTTAGTAAGACTTGAAAGCAATTTCTTTCTTCCTCATCCCTTTCCAACAAAACGTGTATCCGATGGTTTCATTATTGTCTATTTAAAAAAATACTTAGTTTTCTTATTATTAAAAAACCTTTATAATTAATTTCAGCAAAGGTGGAAGAACAACTTATTTACGCATACTATGCTGAGAGCGAGGACGAGAGAGGAACATCTCAGGCTCAGGAGTCTCAGTCTTGCCACCCATCCTGTAATGACGTCATCTATGCAAGCCAAGTGTTCTACTCCGACCTCACCAAGGAAATGGAGAATGGATCTCATAAATGGGGACATTTGAGACTGTAAGTTACATTTGTGATATTTTTAAACATTGAGCTTCTGGGGATTTATAAAAACTCGTTGGTGATACTGGTGACTCGTGGGTTGATAAAGTGACTGAAAGATAATATTGATAGCCAATAGTATTGGGTGTAGGAAGGTATAGTTACTTGGGGAACATTTAGGACAAAAAGGACGATAGTGAAAAATGATACGAGTTCAAAGTCAAAACGTAGTCTTTGTAAGGCTGTACTGATTTTGATGAGGATCTTGTTGGAGGGATCTATGTCCAGTTGGTTGTTTTTGGCTAGATGACCTATGCGGCTATGTCCGTTTATATCAATCTCGAGTCAAAATCAAAGCCTTTATTTCAATTAAAACCATAATTTGGTACTTTTGAAATGTTAACAAATACAAAATAAATAATAATCTCTCAGTTAGTCCGTCAGTGAATCTAGGTGGTCATTCCAAAATGATGATTCGAATGGAGAAGAACGAGCAAGAAACTCCATTCTTTACTCTTTATTTCGAGAAAAATTAAACGATATTTTCGATTTCACCAACCTGTACCTAACAACATAAGGTTAAGTAAATTCATTCTTTCATTCAAATCATTTATTTCGGTTGCAAACATGGGTTAGAAAAATATACAAAAGGTGTTTAATATTTACAAGTAGATTGGTTCTCAACATTTTACCGTTATGATATGCAAATAATGTACAAATACAGTAAAGGTTTTGCTTAGGTGCTCCCATACTAAGTAACTCTATCTTAGTCAAGAGATAATTTACGGGCAATTGGTAAAAATGGTTCCAATATTCATATTATTGGACCCAGTAAGTTGCTTTTTCATAATGTATTTTTTTGCCTTCATTGTTGTTTTTTTTTGTTATTTTATGTTTTTTAGTTTGTTTTCTTTTTATTTTTGTTTTTCAATGTTTATGTTGTATGTTAATTTTCGGTGGTCCATGTCTGGTGGCGAATAAATTATTTTTCTTTCTTTCTTTCTTTCACTCTTAATAAACATATTATATATTTTTACAGAGGAGAAGTGACTCAGATAAACGTCCATTTTTACGACGACATGTTTCTGGGACAGCACCGACACGCGCAATATGATGATTATTACTTTGTTGGTAAGAATTCAGTATTTATAGTAGTCTAATTTTTATCAGGCTCATATTATACCAACGGTTCCCTTTAGGATCACTCAGCTCAGAGGATATAAACTTCAAGATTACTGTAAATACTGCTAGGGATCGCGCTTATAGGCAAAGGCCAATTTCGATAGTAATTTGAATGTTATCTATAGATTTGCTTGATAAATATAGTATTTTTTATTTAACACATTTTTATGAAACAATGACGGGCAGAATGTATCTACCGACTAATAACGACCAGACGTATATCGTTAGAAAGCTCTTTTCATGACTATCATTTGTTATTATGGCAGCTAGTCTCAATTCATTGCGGGGAAAATGTTATAGTTACTTAACACTTACATTTCCCATACTTGTGTGCGCGACATACTTTATGTTAAAATACTACTAGAGATAGTTTTATTCTAGAAACCAATCAGAAGAGTACAACAAATTCGGGATATCTAAGTTCATGATTGAGTTTTTTTGGTTGTCTTCCAGGTGCCATCGGCGGTCTACTCAGTCTTTTCCTGGGATTCAGTATAATTAGCGTGGCTGAGCTCATCTTCTTTGTTCTACTCAAACCCGCTTATGTTATTCTTATAGAATTTAATCAAAAGTAAAAAGTAGTCCTTTTATAAAAACTATAGTGAGAAATGCGAGCAAGAGATAGAGATAAGTGAATTAAATTATTTAATTAAAAATTTATTATAATTATACTGTTATAAATAATTAAAATTTAAATATACTGAGAAAAGCATAACATAAATAGTGAAAGTGGGTGTTACTTCTGTGTGCACCTCTGCCTACCCCTTCGGGGATAAAAGGCGTGATGTTATGTTATAAGAAAAGCTCTACTAGTTTCGAGTCACAGAGGAACTCTTCCTCATGAGCAGCGTGTGTGGTCGCAGTGATGGTGTCGCGCACTCTACTGGCTGTAGTAGTTGGTGCTCGCGATGGTGTTGATGGTAGTGGGTGCGATTCTCGGGTAATTTTTAGTAAAAAAAATATAGTGCTGCTTATTGAATAATAAGTAACACATAACATAATATAACATCACACCTTTTATCTGCGAAGGGGTAGGCAGAGGTGCACATTACGGCACTTAATGCCACTGTACAATGTAACACCCACTTTTCACTATTTATGTTATGAGTCCCATGTAATAGGGGGTGAGCCTATTGCCATATATCGGGCACATTTCCAGACTCCGTGCTAATACTGGGGTTTTTACAAACCCAGTAATACTTTGCCCGACCCGGGAATCGAACTGCCCGGCGGCAAGGGGTCTCGGGTTCAGTTCGGTTCAGCAGTATAATACGTTACATAATTTAAAATGTATTTCTTTATTGTTACGCCGTTTAAGTAAATAAATTATAATGTGATCTGAGAAACATTATTGGTATCTGTTAAATGAATGACCTTATTACTTAAAGAGATTTTTAAAAAGTAACCTTAGAAGAGGTATGTAAGCGTGGGCAAATAGTTTTATTCAATTTGTAAACAATGTTTATTATTTTAATGTTTTGGTTTTTTAAACAACATTTTTAAATATTATTCGCCCTGTGGGGATTGCGCCATGTTCTCGCCTGTATCTACCTACAAATAATATTAAAAGGTTGTTATAATTATTTCCAAAGACGTTGAAAAATTATTTCAAATACCTAAAGGTTTCAAGCGTTAAATGTTTCTCGTTAATTTTATATAGCTATTAGAACAAACTTTCCAATCCAACAGTATATACTTCGGAGTCGCGGAGAACCTAACGGGTAACCGGGGCTCCGGCTCGACGTGCAGGAGAAGGAACGGGGTGGTTTTTAGTCAGTAAGAGTCTGACACTCCCTCCCGCCTCACCCAGGCGGGAGCAGCCATTCCATGATTTTCCCCCCTTAAAAAAAACTGTATATACTATTATATTTTTTTAATATTTAGCATCTAGGTATACTACTAATACTTACTTAAGTACCTACATAGTCTGATTTTGTATGTACTTGAGAGATCCTTGATAGGGAAATCAAAGGTTTGACACTTCAGAAAGAAGGTCTAAATTATAATTACCTAAGCTAACCACAACTTCCCATAAACGACCATTGAAAAAAAAAATACAAATCCAACGTCATTCTGACAATCTTTTACACATCGATCCATAACATAACCTACACCAAAAATTATACCATCATATTACAACGGCTACCAAAATTTGAACAATGTTCGCCGAGGCCTGCTACCTGGGGGCCTACGGGCTTGAAGACCTCAGGGTTCTGAATGACAGACTGAACGCCAAGGTAGTGGAGCAAGTGAACGACACCCAGGAACTTGTAATGCTGAATAACTTCGCACACGAAAGCAATGAGTATCAGTTCAAGAAATGCTTGCAAGACAGGTAAATAGCCAACAGCCAAACCTATACTATAGAAGAATTAAGTCAAACTAGCCAAAATAGTTAGACTTAAAAGTTTTTTTCATTCATAAACTTTTTGGAGTATGAGGATCTGAATATTTTGTGTATAACCAAATGCTCTTCATACAGTTTGGTGCAGGTAATAAGCAGGTTTCTACATTCATTCAGAAAGTATTTTTGAAACCTTTTAATATACTTAATTAAAACGCAAACATCTTCGAAATTAGTATCTAATCACAACAGAAAATCAATTAGGTTTATAAGTAGAAGGTTTAGAAGTCTTAAAATGTTACTCCAGAATGTCAGATATTGCATCCTGGCGCTGGGTATTAGAAGACCTAAACAAGCGCTTGTCAGAAGCGGCAGAAGCTCTTCAGTATGAACACAATGCTCTTCGTGTGGTCATCAGCAGACTGCAGAATGAAATAGAAGATCATTCACGTGATGCTACTAAGCCTGGAGTACTGAAACCACTTTCTGATAGCGTGGAAGAAGCCATTTTGCAGGTTACACATGTGTTTGTATTTTTCTTTTCTGGTCTTTTACTAAAAGACCTTAGAAGTTTAAACACTTTTGAGCTTGTTCCGGTGCAGCGATGCCATTATAAGAATGTATAGGTACTAAATTACCTACTTAGGTCTTGGTCTTCCAGGAATTCGATTTTTTACGCGAAGAAAAGAAGAAATTCGAAAGAATGGTACTAGCTCTAGAGAAACAGTCTGCAGCGATTGAGAAGACTAAGAAGAAGATAGCAGCAGATCTTATCCTAAAAGAGCAAGCTCTCTGTGTAGAAGAAGCCTGCGCCAAAATTACTTCAGGAGTGCCATCGAAAGCGGAATGTGGAAGAAGGAAAAAGAAAAAGAGGTGACTTATTCTATTCCTGAACAATTTCATTAGTTTTAAATAATATTGTAAGCGTTAAGAAATCGCTTGACTTATTATCATCTATCGATTAAAACCTTTGAATAGCAGGTAGATAGTCCCAGTCTGTGGATATCGTCATTCTACATGATTGAATTATTATTTCTCTTCTATTCTAGAACATCACCAATTACTCGATGGGAGAACCGTTGCTTAGCTTTAAAGACTGCTGGTCTTCGTGCACTCAGTAACGCAATTGTCACTAGACAACAGGTAATTATTACGCATTAAAAAAATAGTCCACCTACTCAAAACTTACGCTAAAATATTTTCTGCAAATGAATTTGCCTTATCTCAAAAATATGGTTTTCTGACCATCAGGTTCGAGGAGCCAGGGTACATCTTTCTATCACGGCGCAAGCCTACGCTGCAAGAGTGGATGCGGCACTCAGGAGACGTCTAAACAGTAACAAAGTTAAACTACAGGATATTTACTGGCAGAAGCAGGAGGTAGAGTAGAATCGAGTTTAATTGTAACATAACGCAAAAGAAGCTTCAAAAGATGTATGCTTGAGTAGTTTCTGCCTATGGCTTGGCTAGCGTTCCCGTGGAGTGAAAAGTAGTGTTATGTGTTATTCTAGACGATAATCTATCCCTGTTCTAAATTTAATTTCGATCCCTTCAGCCGTTTTGACGTGATCATGTAGATAACAAACATACAAACTCATAATTTTTCACATTTATAATATTAAGTACGATTTATACCTACACTAGCGACCCGCCCCGGCTTCGCACGGGTGCAATATGCATGTATTATACATACAAACCTTCCTTAAGAATCACTCTATCTATTAAAAAAAACCGAATCAAAATCCGTTGCGTAGTTTTAAAGATCTAGGCATACATACGGACATACAGCGAAAGCGACTTTGTTTTATACTATGTATTGATATCTAAGCAGAAAATTGCTAAAACCACAACAGGCTATATCGATCGTTTATGATGCTTAATCCCCAATCAACAAGTTTGAAGTTTTAATAAACAAAGCAATTCTTTTCCTGTAGATAGGTAATACAGTCTTATATTACAACGATCTATTTTAGGATTGCATTCTCCTACAGCAGTAGTCTTTTGTTTCTTATTTTGCTTTAGCTTGATTGCTTGTCTTCGTTTACTTGATATGTAATATTGCTTACACTCCAAATCTTCGAATGGAAGAGGAAAAGTCAATTAATAATCTAGAATTCTAGATACTCCACCTGCCCAACATGTTTTCCCTAGGCTATGCGAGACTACAAAGCTTTACTAGATGAAATGACAACAACAGAACAAAATCTTTTGGAGACGATGGAACAAGAGCGTGTAGTTGAAACCAGGCTAGCTGATCGCACCAAGAGACCTCCAGGGGAACACATTAGGGATGAAGTCGATAGGAAGCTGAGAGAAGAGTTGGCCAGGTTAAGGAACTTCAGCAAACAACTGAGGACTAATCATGAAAGAATTATGTGAGTATAAACGGATTTCTTCATTATTATTTGGTCTTGAAAATTTGTTTTTGTGAATATTTATTATTGTGATCATGCGTGCTTGCAAGTGCGCGTTTACCAACTCTTTTTAAGATCGGCAGCTTCTGACAATTCACTGTGGACTATGAGTGTGGTCCTCATCCTCATAAGTGTATTTAAGCAGCTGCCCGGTTTCTGTCTAATGTGTAGTCCCTTAGTCGCCTTCAACAACCCTCTTCTAAGTAGACATAAATAATTTTACTTCTTTTAGGGAACTACAACACCATTTAACGGATAGTATGACCCGTATAGACTGTTGTGCGGAGGACATCCTCTGCGTCGTGCGCTTAGACGATGAAAGAATCGTTTCCAGGCTTGGGGAGGGCCCTACAGAAATTCCCCAACCTCCACCAAACCTGGCTGAAGCTGGCCCACACAGCCCTAACGCCTCACCTACTCCGGAACAGTCCCCAAGGACACGGCCTGATTCTTCGCTACAATCCATCCAAGAAGAAGACGAAGATGACTACCCATTCGATAGTTAATTAGTTTATTTGAGAAAAACAATATTTATGTTGATTACGTAGGGTTTAAATTAAGTTTTAGTGATAGCTGTACAAAAATATTTAAAATATAACGTTGGTAGGAAAATTTTAGATATAAATCGGAGAAATTACAAAGCGCTTTTTTATTTATTAAATAAGTTAACGCGTCAATTCGAATTTTGTGAAGTAGGTATTGGTGAACAAAATTATCTTAACATTAGATTAGGTTAAAAATTGATGCAATGGTACGTTTGTCAAATGAAAATCTCATATGTTATTCATCTCATTAATACGTAGCTACTAGAGCTTCGGTGTTATATTGTTATATTATTATTTTTTCTTATTAGTTTTATTCATTTCTGAATAATTATTTTAAATTGTAGACATTATATAAAAACCACAAGAATGTGTCTCGTTGCTAGATAAAACCAATGTATTTGTTTTTTATTGTATTTATTTTGAAATAAAATATAATAATTACTATAGGTATTAACAATATCACAAAATGATGAAACTTAACCGTCCCAATATTATAATCAAAATATAAAAATACTACAGATTAGTAACTGTATTATTTGTATTGCTAGTTGTTTTTCGTAAAGATACTATACAATACAATTTTACGAAACGTATAATCGGGACACCGTATTTTTTCTACTGGCCAAGTAATATTTAAAATACCGAAGCACATATTTAAAATGCATTGTTAAAATAACAAAATAAATAGTTATCTATTACGTTTAAACAAAAACTATTTATTTTGTTTATAGTTATCTAATATATGTTCTGTTTTATAGCACAGATCTATAATTAAATTGATAACCATTTTTGTAATTGGATTATAATATTTATGAATAAAATATGAATGACAAACTGCTATTATTTGATTTTTATTGAATTATACAAGTATTAGTTTAGGTGCAGGCATCTAGTTAAAGGTTGAACAAAATTCTACAAAATTAAAGTGAAGGTCGCCTTTTAAAGATCATTGTTAACTTATTTTAAATCATAAAAATATTGAAAGTAGGTAATTTTTTACCCAAGCAACAGTCAGTCAGTATCTACAAGCCCTTAAGACAAGTAACTATCACCACTCTTTTTGAGATGTTAAATACTAATTCTTTTCATTCCAAAGTGTAAAAAGGCTAAAAAATAAAGGTTCTATACTTAGTATAAGACTAGATGAGTTGAGAAGCTGATGGCTTAAATTCTACGTTCATATGTATTATGTATTTAATGAGATTAAGTAGGTACCTAGTCTAATGTTCACTATAATTTGAACAATATCAATTTGTATTATTATTGTAAGATGCAATATAACCGCGTTGTTTGTCGCGCGTGCTGTTCTGATTATGGGCCCTCGTTCTGACTTTAACTAGTTGAGTGACCTCTTCGAACAGTGACATTAGTATGGTGTACAACACTATTGATTTAATATTCAATATACAATCATATTATATGGTTTGGCTACAATTAGCCATTGAGTATTATAAATAGGTATATAAAAAGTCGCTTATATCAATTATGGATTAGGTACTTTCATTACAGCATTGCATTACATACTACATATAGAAACGTGAAGTGTTTTTTAAGGGTACCACTCCATAACTATCTATGTATGTACATGGACTATCATAGATATAAAATCTAAAGGACTATCAAGTTGTTTTTTAAACTAATAAAAATAAAAATTATCAGTCTATAAAGCTTAAATGAATAATATTTTCCTTTCGAGATCAAGTTTAGACATTAATGAATCTATGGCAAGCATAAACATTAAAGCAAAGGATACATTAAGGGACAAAAGTCCAAAGACATGTTAATTCACGATTTCGTCCGACATATTATAAGGCGACAAAGCGTGCCATATGTCCACAGGGACGTTGATGTTGCCAGACATGTCGACTAAAGTCCGGCAACGTTGCGGCACTCCACCCAACGTCGCTGGCGAGACGTGTCACAGGCCATTTGTCTCCTAATGTATCCGTGGCTTGCATAACTATTGTAACTACATGATATTTGTGTGAAGATCTATAGAGTAAATACAAGTACTAGTACTTTTACTTGTAATCATAAGCTGATTACTCAAAGAAGCGCTGGATCTGTAAGAAAAATGATAAAAAATGTGCTAAAATATTAAAAATGTTTGTAGTTTACAATAAAACACCAGATAGGCTTCACTGGTGACCCCCATGATGTAGCAGAGCGGTAGCGGAGGATTTGCCTTCAACAATTGGCAGTCAAAATAAGGTTTTGAATGCTAATAGAAAATTGTTGATATAAAATAAAAAAAAATACTATTTCATAATCTTGTACAATTTCACTTCTCCAACGCTTCTTTGAGTAAGTCGCTTTTGCTAAGGATATTAAACAGTGACTATTATAGAGAGCATATTAAAATCTAACTCTAGAGACCTGTTTCACCACTCGTAAGTAAGTTTCTGTTAGTTTAACTGACACCTTAGTTGCCATATTGCATAATTATATAGGGAGATACATCAAGCATTAAAGTATTCCATCAGTAAAGATTTAAGAAGTGGTTAAACAGGTCCAAAATCATTTTATGTACAGGATTACAATTTTTCGAGCCCCATTCCGTTTTCATCGTAGTTTGACCAAGTGTTACGGGTAGCCATTGGATGCAACTTCGCAAGTAAGAGTGTTATTTGGTATGGCAGAGTAATTTTTGCCCATCCTTGCATATCTTCTGGAGATATCCCATTTCCTCAATCATATTTTAAGTCATTCAGTTGAGTTCAATTAAATTCTAAATCAAATCAATCAATAACTAAATGAACTACAGTAAAATGAATAAAATTTCTTAGTAGTGATATATTTCAGATAATTGTAACAAATGTAATAATAACAAAACAATGTTCAGTTTTTAAAATAAATCAATTAAATAAAAATTAACAGAACTGAAAAATAATACTCATTGAACCCAACTAGCCACTACGATAAGAACGGGAGGCGTAATCCTATAATCCAAACTGATTGAGATGTGCTTCACTGTGGACGTGGCTCTGGATGCTCTGCGCATTGCAGACAATATCCATCTGGCACCTATTGCAGAATGCATAGGCCTCATGTTCATTAGTCAGGTAAGGCTCAATGGAAACATCCTGGTTGTCAATCAGATCTTCAATTTCAGAGAACCATTCTATATGATCCTCATCTTCATCAATATGATCCAGGACGCTTAGGACATTATCTTGTATGTATATCTTGCAAACTTTGCACCAGACTTCAGTATTGTTGGCTGCTGGGAATAAGCCATTTAGAGGTTTCAGACGTTCAGTGATTTGGAAGCGATGGTACAAGTCATTGACGTGCTCCTGAATGTGTTTTAGGGAGCAGTAGATGTTCTTGTTGCACACCTCGCAGTGTACCTCGTCCTTTTCGCAAGCCAGGTAGGGGTCTAGAGAGATAAACTCACCATCGACGAGATCTTCCAGCGCCGCCATAAAGTTTGCATGGTCGTCGCTCTCGATGTGATACGTGACCGATTCTTCTTCCGATAAGATTCGCTTGCATAGTTTGCAGTGCATTTTACCGTTACTAAAACGTATGGCGTTTTCATTCATTAATTCAATGTTTTCCTTATGTTTTGCTCCATTTGTATGCTGCTCGATACATTTATTCGCTTTAGGAATATGTACGCCACAACATAAGCATCGTACCCGGGTCTTAGAGCTCGCAATTATACCGTACGGTAAATCTGTTTTCATTGTGATAAATAATTGTTGGGCACTTTGTTTATATTAGTAACTGTTCGCACTAGTACGGCTTATCGAGAAACTTGAAATTTTCGCGAAATATTTTAGGATTGATTTGACAGTTTGACAGGTTTGTTTGATTTTTTTTCGTTTGACAGACGATGCAAAATCAATAAACAAGCGAACCACAGACTACTTAGAGATACTATGGATCGAACGAATGAAGATTGAGGAGAGGTGCGAAACTTGTTTACTTTCATGTTGGTATTGATAACAAAATCGGAACAAACGTTTGTCGAATCTGCTATTTTCATAATATTAATTGAAATGGTTTTATAAGAATACAGTTAGATAATTTAGTTTTTATATTTGTAAATTTAAATGGTTATAAAACATGTTTTGTAGTTATTTTAAATCTTGCAACATTTATTAAATTTTCTAGAAGTCCCCTGAAATTGAGATGAGCCCTTCCAATAAATGAATAAGAATTCAATTCAGAATATTATTAAATAAACTGTACGATAAAAGAAGGACTTTTCTTATCGTGCCATGGACCAATAGCATACCTACAATTTAGCCATGGCTATGACTTAACATAACATAAACATCACGCCTTTTATTCCCGAAGGGGTAGGCAGAGGTGCACACACATACCACTGTACTTACAATGTAACACCTACTTTTCACTATTTACGTTATGAGTCCCATGTAATAGGGGGTGAGCCTATTGCCATATACCGGGCACAATTCCAGACTAGACTAGACAAATCCGTGCTAGTACTGAGATTTTTTTTTTAAAAACCCAGTAATACTTTTCCCGACCCGGGAATCGAACCCGAGACCCCTTGCCCGGCAGTCGCACTTGTGCGACCACTCGGCCAACGAGCCAGTCATGCCATGGCTATGACTTTGGTTTATATTATTTAATTACAGACAAATAAATTAATATTATGATAATTTTCCTATTTAGGTTACCATTACACTTATATATTTGAAATATTGACTAAATTCTTGGTTTTTAACAATAGCTTATTACTTTACAAAAGCCAATACACGACTAAAGAAGTTTAGTAAACCTATGGCAAATTGTACTCTTAACCTACTGCCTACTTCCATATCTCCATGGAACAAATTCGTGGATTTATTAAATACTGTAACAAACTTTTTAATTGAAAAAAAAATCACAAGTACACTATAAATTCATAATATTTATTTCTATTCACAAGAAATAAAATAAGTAGATAAATAGATAATAATAATAATGTTCAACATTCAACGTCCAATCGCTGGTAATAACTGCATAATGAAGGAGAAATTTCCTCCTTCATTTGTGCAGTTGCAGTTTCGGTAGTTTGCTAGTAGCAACTTGCTATTATATTTTCAAATTCATTATCTATACATGAGTACATAAAATAGGTTTGAAGCACAGTACAATGTAATTGAGTTGTCACAATAACATTAACCCGTTGATATCGAATCCCCTAAATTTGGTAATACAAAAGTAATCTCTAAACATTAGAAATAAGGTCTATAATGTAATGTAATATTCGTGGAGAGCGGTCACCGGTGACCGCTTGGGGATTTATGGGTTAAGCCTTATAATTAGAACCACTCTTGTTGTGTTGTTTACCCCGGATGTGTCTCTCTAAGTTATCAGTGTTACACGGTACTTCAATTCCACATTGCTTACATATAGCTTTGTCTTCTTTAGGGTCATGCAAATATTTTTCAATATTAATATTTTGATCTTTAATTAATCTGTAAATATCCCTAAGATTTTTCACATGCCCCGGGTCCTCATCCACATGTTCAAATATTACTTCAATATAATTTTCAAAGTAAACTTGGCATATTTTACACCAGAGGTCATTGTCACTATTTTCAACTGAAAATATTGCATTTAATGGCTGAACGGCTATTGCTCGAGCTCTTCTGTGTTTTGGGGATTCAATGTGAGATTTTATTGCCTCAGGACTGAACTCCACACATCGGTCACAAGCCAAACAGTCAACTGCAGAGCCAATGTTTGATATATTTTCCGGCAAAACAAGCAGCCCTCCATCTTTCTCAACCAATTTTTTCACCTGATTCTTTCTTTCGTTATGTTGTGGACTGTTCAAGTGCTCTAATACATCAGATACATGAATCACACTATTGCACAAACCACAATTTAATTCTCTGTTATTAACTTCGATGTTGTTCTGTATCATAAGTCTTTCCATATACTTATTTGCATGTTCCGTATCGATTAAATGAGCCTCAATCGAAATATCACTATCAGGGATGTATATTTTACACAATTCACATTGCGTTTCACCATTTTTGTCTATTATGATATCTGTGTAATATGCCATTGTTATATAATTACAGTGTATAAAAGTATAAAGAATTACGAATGCAATCTTTAAAATTAAATAAATGCGTCTACGCAAGACAAAAGACAACTTTCTTTGACAATTTCCACAATTTTATTTTGAGTTGAGTCAGTCCATCAGTTGAATGATTGTTTATTTGTTAGTATCAGTGACATTGATAACGAAATGTCAAACTTATTACTGTAGATCACTAATAAAAATAACTGTAAAAGTGTAGTCGTAACTGAAAAAAAGTGATAAGAAATCATATAAAAATGAATTTTATTGTAAAATAAAATTTACCATTTAAAAATACAGCCTTTGCTTTTCTGGTGAATGAAACAAAACGTAGCATCATAGATCCATAAAATGACACTTGAACTTGATAACTTGACATTGACAGCAAAATAAAATACATACTTGACTCTGTGGGTTTTAGTACCTATTTTTCAATAAATTTCGGGTTTGGTGTCGGTCGGCGATTAAATTTAATTAATATTGAGATCTCTAATTAATTTAGGCGTCAAATAAGAAGCTCAAAGATGTCTTTAGATTCTGATACAGAAGCGGATATCTTGGAAAATGTAGAGGAAGTGATGGACAATTTATTAGTAAGTATAAAACCATGTTGCTCATATTATAATAAAATTAGTACAGTTATTTATTTTTTTTATTTACTCTGACTAAAGGAATACTTTCTTCGTTCTTAAAAAAACGTGGTTCATTATAGAAACAATAAGTATTTCTATAAAAAAAAATGATGATGAAGTATTTAAATCGAATTTTTTAATTACAGAAAGAACTTCAAGATCTTTATTCATATAGGGATTTGTTTTTTGAAAACCACTCTATTGATTTGGCTGTGGAGAAAAATAAACGGGTAGAAGAAAAGAAAGAAGTGTTAGTTGAGAAATTTGAGTCAATTGATGGTGAGTTTTTTCTTCTTTTTATGTTTTTAGATTTGGACAGAATTTTTTTAACAACACTAATTGGAATCAGTCATATCAAAACAAATAACTTATAAGATTTTTACAATGATGTGAATATTATATCTTATTTATTGATAAACTATTAATAGCATGTAATGTAAATTATTCTATTTTTAAAATAAAAACTAAATAATAAATAACTAATATATAAAAACACTGAGCGGTCACCGGTGACCGCAACCTATTGTTCTTTTATTGTGTCTATAATGGCAGTTCTCAACGAGTTAAGTTGTGATTATTATTGATCAATTAATTAAGAACAAACACAGCTGTTCAAAGGACCTACAATTACTTGTTATACCAAAATTTTTATTTAAACATACATCAAATATTAGCTAAGAATTAAATTTGTATTTAAAATGAATTTAGCGGACACGCAAATACCTGAAGTACTTCGAGCCAAATTTCTCTACATGAAAGGACGATGCTATAACATAAGTCCTACTTACGATGCAAGAGCTACACAATGCCTCAGTAAGGCTGTTAAGCTTTGCCCAGCACTAATAGATGCGTGGAATGAACTCGGAGAAAGCTATTGGAAAAATATGAATGTAAAAGAGGCGAAATCTAGTTTTGAAGGTGCCTTGAAACATGTAAGTTATATTGTCAGTCAGGTTTTGGCCTTTCTTAGCATAAATATTTTCTATAAGTGCATAATTTTCTTTTTATCGGTATTAATTTCAGCGAATGTTTTACTCTATTATCTCTGATTCCTTATTAATATTTAAATATTTAAATATTAACTATGTACTAATGCTGCACTAGGTTTATCCGTATAAATCATATTATTTTAGGAACGCAACCGTTTGTCACTGCGATGCCTATCAATCATTCTGCGCCAGGAGAACAGTGATAAAAAGCGTTCAGAAGCCCATGCAGCTATTATGAAAAGCGTTGATTTGGCTAAGGAAGCTGTAAGCCAGGACATAAAGGATGGGGTGTCCTGGTCTGTGCTGGGCAATGCCTATCTGTGTCAGTTCTTCATGGTTGCTCAAGATCCTGCTACATTGAAGCTGTGTATGAGTGCTTATAAGCAAGCTTCATTGGACCCCATTGCTAAAGGACAGCCTGATTTGTATTACAATAAGGGGATTGTAAGTGTTATTTTAACCATGTGTTTTTCTTTTGTACTTTCAAGTAACTGTTTATTGTATTTTCAATGATACAGGTTGTTCTCATACATACTGTTACATAAATAGGAAATCCCTTTAATTTGATTAGGCGTATTTACTCTAGTTTGTTGTGTAAACAGTTCATTCTAACAGAATTACGTTTGGTATTTTTTCCTAGATAGCTATGATTTTACTGGTTTTTATATTTTTAGTTTTCCTACATAGGTACCGAAATGCTATTTGAAACATTCATCTGAATATTTAACCAAATTGTTCGGATACAATTGCAAAGTAAAAAATCAGGTTTTAATTAACTATTATAATATTTCAGGCTCTAAAATATTCAGAGATCTACGACGAAGCATTATTTAACTTTGAGTATGCCAGTCGGTTGGACCCACCGTGGCAGCCTCCGAAGCAAGAGCGAATGAGACTGGTCACCTTCTTGAATGCAGCTCACAGCCTGGTGCGGACCAGGGGCAAACTGAAGGCTAAGAAGCTGGCTACTATGGTGCAGGTAAACTTATTCTAGATCCTAGGTACCCTAGGTTAAGGTATTTATTCTTTTGTCTGTTATCATCATCAACGGTCCATGACGGTCTGCTGTTTTCCTCTGCATTAGGTTTGCCATTAGCGACGCTTGCTAAGTGGGTTATAGTTTAAATGGTTTAGATTTGTCAAAGAACAGAGTGCTTAGTAAGAGTTTATTTGACGTTAAAGTAATTGAAACGAGTACGTGTTCGGCGCTGAGAAACGTAAAACGAACTCGTATTAAGCCTTTTGATTGGTTGGTTCATTGGAGCCGGCCAATTACAGCGCCGAAGTGGTCTCGTTTGAAACAACGAGTAACAAGTGTGGGAGAGCGATGGTTCGGCACGAATGGGCCGTCTCGACCGGAGTGATACCACGGCCTCACAGAACACCGACGTGAAATAGCGCTTGCGTTGTGTTTCGTCGTGTGAATGAGGTTACCGGAGGCCTAATTACCTCCCCCCCCAATCCCTGAATCCCCAACAATCTTCAAATGTCTTCAAATCTTCAAAATCGGCGTCGCCCATGGACGATTACTTACCATCAGGTGATCGTTTACCGGCTTATGCCATAAAAAAACAAGTTTCTCGTGTAAAATAAACACGTAGAAAGGCCTTAGTAATGTCTGGTTTCTGTCGAATAGATGGTTTCTTGGGTGTTCACCAATGTTTTCTCTACCGTCAGCACGTAATAAATACTTATTCTATTACTATATTTCCAGGCCATTGACAAAAAGATGTTGGGCGTCTACGGCGAAGGTCTACATGCTTTCGCTGGTCGCCGTGAGGTGGCGCTTGAGCATACTCGCTTGGATGCCTTGGAAGACGGTCCGAATGAAGCCAGGGTGATTCTGGGCAAAGTTGTGGGCTCCATACATAACGATAATGCGGTACCATTGTGAGTAATTTATTAATTTCTATATTCAGTGAGGTTTTTGTAGAATTGTACAGTTTTGATTCTCTAGTCTAGGCTAGACTTAGACCACACTAGAAAAAATACATTACATAGCTATGTTTTAGCTGTAAATACATAGTATTTGCTACATACATTCAAACATATACAATATTAAAATCTACAAGATATTTGAAAAGAACTCATGAACTACTTTGCTTTTCTAGTCCTCATTATTGTACAAATATTATGAACATTATCACCATTTTATATTTACATATTACACCTATTTATTACTGGGTTGGTATTCTCGACATCATAAGTGAAACAAGTGAATTTATACTTTATAAAAAAGCAAATAGGCTACAAAATAGCACTTTCACACGTTAATTTTATTACGCGAACGAAGAAGTCGACATTTCCAACTAACTACTCTAAGAAGAACTCTGACATAACGATATTAATCGATTGCTTAGTCGTAGTGGAATAAACCGATTTTTAACTTTATTACTAAAGGATAAGGTTGAAAATCTGTTAAAGAAATTCACAATTTGGTGACCTATTTGTCGTTATCACTGTTGGTGTCGGTACTCCCAGTTCTTGAAGGAAAAAAAAAATCTATTTTTAAAATGTTTCATACTATTTTCATTGCAGTATGTCATTAGCCATTAGCGCACTACTTACTTCATATTTACTAGCATAATTAAGAATTTTAGAATAGAAACTTACGTCTTCTTTAGACTTACGAAAATTAATTTAAGTCTTCTTATTCTTCTTAGCTATGTTTTTTTTAATCTGATGAAAGGACATTAATTTACTAAATGCAATATTTACTTAGAAATTGAGTGTTGTATTTTGTCATAGGAAGATATTCTCTTATATTGTGACTATCCCCATGGGTCAGTCATCAGTGGTACCCATGTAACACTGATCACGTACGGCCATTTTCTATAGAATTTTGACATAAGCTCCATACAAAACGTGTCAAAATTCTATCTCAGTAAGCAAATCTACAGATAGATAGGTTATAGAAAATGGCAGTTAGCCATTCACTTAGGTGACCCATCTGCTTCTTTACCCCTTATCCTTAAAAAGGTCTAACAGAAGTATTAGTTTTTGATAGTAATAATAAATAGATAGATTAAAAATCACGGGTTACTCACGTGAAAATACTGAGAAAAGCTACTAGTTTCGAACCACAACGCCAGAGTTGGTAACAAACGCGCGTGGTGACCGGCAGAGGGCGCTGTGGGCTCGCAGCCCAAGTAACAACACCGACGCAAGCGCCAGGCGCCCACGCTAGTCGGTAGGCTCATGAGAAAGAACCCCTCTGTGGTTCGAAACTAGTAGAGCTTTTCTCAATATTTTCACATGAGTAACCTGCGACTTACCTAAATAGTTATAGTTAATTTAGTATGTATCACGATAGTTGTCATAAAAAATAAATCGATAGTATATTATATATGAATAGAAAATGTTATAAACAGTCTCCTCCCAATTTGTAAGTTTCCGTTTTAAAAAAGCACGTGTATTTTTTCTCTTGTTTGAATGCTTGCCTAATGGATACTTAGTTTAACTGCTTGGAACACTGCACGTCCTGTCACGGAACTCTACCACCAGGATGGGATCACACGACGACAGTTTGTGTGGTATGTGTTGTTGTACACTATCTAGGGAACTCCATGTTTGTTTTGTTAGGCCATTTTTATTGAATATAGGGTACCTATTATCCTATCTACATATGCGCCTGTCATTGCTAGCTGCATTTATTTGTGTCGCGGAGAACCTAACGGGTAACCGGGACTCCGGCTCGACGTGCAGGAGAAGGAACGGTGTGGTTTTTAGTCAGTAAGAGTCTGACACTCCCTTTTACCTCACCCAGGCGGGAGCAGTCATTCGATGATTTTCCCCCCTTAATAAAAAAAAGCTTTATTTGGATTTTGAAATAGTATCTACTGTTTGTACTGTATATAGCTACATCGTGTTCATGGACGTAAGGACCAAATTGAACAGGGGGGGGGGGACATAAGGTAGATTATTACCTAACATTTTACTGCGAGGATCTTAGTCGCATTCTTAACGGTTCAAAAGTTATTTCGATTCTTTTTTCTGTTTTGCTTTTGCTGCACTTCTCAAAGAAACAGTCAGGATCAAAAAATTTGGGCGGTAAATAATTGTGTAATGTGTAAACAAAAAATAAACATAACATAACATAACATTACGCCTTTTATCCCGGAGGGGTTGGCAGAGGTGCACATTACGGCACTTAATGCCACTGTACAATGTAACACCCACTTTTCACTATTTATATTATGAGTCCCATGTAATAGGGTGAGCCTATTGCCATGTACCGGGCACAATTCCAGAATCCGTGCTACTACTAAGATTTTTTTTTAAATTCAGTAATACTTTGCCCGATCTGAAAATCGAACCACTTGCCCAGCAGTAGGACTTGCGACCACTTAGCCAACGAGGCAGTCAAAATGTAAAATGTAGCAATAACTCCTACTTTATGTATGTACTAGCTTTTACCCGCGGCTTCGCTCGCGTAACAAAAGGATAAAAAGTAGCCTATGGGACATATACCAATACACACAGCGCCATCTATACCAATACTTTTGTTTTCCCTCGGGAATATCAATTTTTCCGGGATAAAAAGTACTCTATTATTTAATCCAGACTTTACGTCTGCAAAAATTCAAAGTAATCGGTTTAGTAGTTACAGCGTGAAAGCGGAACAAACAAACAAACAAACTCACTTTCCAATTTATAATATTAGTAAGGATGTATAAAAACATTACAAATCTACTTTTCATCTATTACAGCACATTCGCTCTAATAGACGAGAGCATGGAATGCGTGCTAGTGACGGTTTACAACTGGGCGGACGGTCGCGGCGCCATCATAGGCGACTGTGTCACCATACCCGAGCCACTCATGCGCACACACAAGTATGAGGCGGAAGATGTGGTAAGTTTCATTTGTAAAATGAGTTTTTTTGATGCTAAATGGTATTTGTGACTTTTTTTACTGTAGAGAAGACCTGGTTTTATTTTTGAGTGGTAAGTGTATTTAAATTACCTATGTATTGTTTGGTGCAAGAAGATTGAATCTATTTCTTTCGCTTAATAATTATATTGCATTTTATGAAAACCCATTGCCCTAATTAGCATTAGAAAATAGGTCGATTTCAGTATTTCTTTAAGTACCAGAATAAATTATCACGTTTTGAATTTTTTTTATTTAATTTTTATTGCTGGCAATACTAAGCGTTTGAATTAAAATAGGTATATGTATACTCTTTGGAAACTAAACTTATTCTTTTATTATTTATCCTATATTAGCCGACCCAACAAACCTTCAATCGCCTCAAACATTAGGTAAAGGTGATTTCCACAAATAATTCAAGACCTCAATTGGCCAAATCGGTCTAACTGTTCTCGGGTTTTAGCGAGACTAGGAACAGCAATTGATTTTACTATAAATAGTAAAATATATAAGATAAGGGGTAAACCCCTTATTATTATAAATAACAAAACTTTGATTCATTATTAATGAAAAACAAACAATTCCAGAGCTTCGACTTCAAGTCAATACGTATCAACAATCCTCTGCTTCTTCTTGTGAACGGGAAAAGGGTCGCACGCAATCAGTTTGCGTGCACGAGAGTCACCAGTACCTATGAAATACACTGAGAAACGCTAAAATCGAGGCGGCAAGGCGAGATGAGATCTAACATTCGGAACGGAAAATGGGAATTTCGAGAAAAACCCTGTTGGGAGCAGTTGTAAAGGTAATCATCGTCATTGCTTACCATCAGGCAAGATAATGGCCAATGCCAAAAAAAAACCAGTGCCAAAAATTACTTATCCCAAAAAGAGTAAGGGTAAAACTGTGAAGTCTTTCGACGAAGAAATTTTAAACTAAAATACTCATTGTTACCGACTAAAATTGTTATGTTTTTCGGCTTACCTACGTCATTATTTGACGTCTAGTCGTCGAGTTCTTCGTCAAATAATTATAAGAGTTAGCCTAAAACATAATAATTAATTTAGTATGTCGCACGAAAGTTATAATGTGATTAAAATTAATATGGACCCCAATTTTAAACAGTGTTAAATCTTATCGACCTGCCATAGAAAGGACTGTCTACTACGTAACTAATAAATTATTGTGACTGACAATTAATTTACATTATAATACGCATATTGTATCAATTTTTATATTAAGCACCAAAGGACGGAAAGGGATAACACTATCTAGCATCCCGCTCACAATTTTTGGAGTTTTAGTGTGGATAATCAGGGGGCTTACTCTTGAAACCAATTCCTATCGTTCGACATTGATATTGTGATTTTCGTACTCGTGAGTTGCAACACTGGTGCTCATTGCATCCATATTGCGTGGATATTTATTGAACTAAATGGTATTGAGTTTGGCTTTATATTCCGTACTCTGAATGCTATTTAAACTGTCAAACACCGAGTGGTCACCGGTGACCGCAACCTATTGTTCTTTAATTGTGTCTAATATATAACATGTACATGTATAATGACGGTACTCAATGAGTTAAACAGCTACAAAAGGGGTTGTATAGTAATGACTTTGTATAATTATTGAGATTTCATTGGATTGAAATTGATTTGATATTGAGATTAGTTTCAAGAGTAAGCGCCCTGCTCTGCTCTGTCTATAATTCTTCTATAACTACATACTATAATAAATTCACCTTAATACAATAATGATTATTCACTTTTATACATCTTAACGTCAAACTAAATAGATGTCATTATTAATTATTAATTTTTCGTCTTACGTCACTGTTTGACGAGGATTTTAACTAGTTTCAAGACATGTTAGAGGCTCCTAGAGATGCTAGAAGATCCTCGTTAAACAGTTACGTGAGACAGCCGAATTAATTTAGTACCTATGTCTCACGAAAGTTATAGTAATTATAAAAGATGTCATAATAATGAATATTAAATAATTCTGTCTACATGTTTTAAATAAATATTTGTATAATAGTTATTTTGATTGCGGATTAAACTGTTTGTTAAATTACGTTGAAGATTTTAACTACTTTACTACATAGTATAAAGCAAAGTCGCTATCCGCCGTCTGTCTGTCCCTATGCATGCTTAGATCTTTAAAACTACGCAACGGATTTTAATGCAGTTTTTTTAATAGATAGAGTGATCCTTAAGGAAGGTTTATATGTATAATATGTGCATATTGCACCCATGTGAAGCCGGAACGGGTTGCTAGTATAAAATAAAGTGGCAACCTACCTAATGAAACGAAAGTACATTCTAATAATACTAACTGCTAGAAAAAACAAACTCCAGCTTAGACTAAAAACTGTATTTTTCGGAAACGAGCTTAAGTATATTATAGCTTTGAAAAATCGATTAGACTTACCCGGTATAGGGCATCATTGTAATTTTCGATGAATAAAATCTAAATTTAATAATGGAGTATATTTTGTATGTATTTATGTAGAGAGTAATGGGGGCTTACGTTCTTTGTGCTCACCAAATGGCGCTAATGGGCGCATCTTTGACCAATAGAATAATGACCACTCTCCAGAAAGTACATTATAGACCTTATTTTCAATGTTTAGAGACTACTTTTGTATGAACAAATTTAGGGGATGATTTTCAACAATTTTCGAGAGACAGCCAATTATTTATAGCTACAGGTTTTTCAAACGTTGCCCCACACTAAGTTTCTCGTCTGTGTCGTATGTACACGTATATAAATTCACATACACCTCACACCCACACCTGGAACAATAATTTCTGGATCACACAAGAAGTTGTTCTTTGCGGGATTTGGGTACTTGCTAAATAGTCAAAGTTAATACTTTTTTCGAACTGTAATAAACGACAGTTTTCTATGAATTTTGTACGAGATTGCGTATTGGCTAGTTTCCTAGGTTTAAAATAAATTGTTTCGACTTTTCAATGCAATAAATAATTAAAAAATTATCATACTGTCATCCATTGACTTGACAATTTACCTAATTTTGGATTTTTTCTCGCTAATTTTAAGGAAATAGTATACTATTTGACGTAGAAATATGATGACGTCATAAGTTGCGATCCAATACAAAATTCATAGAAAAGTATCGTGTTTGACTTACATTAAAAGTGTTGAGTTTGACTACCTGTTAAATACCGTATTGTGACTTCAATTTTTTTAGCGTCAAACAGAATATTTCTTAAAAGAATTGCTGGAAAAATACTAAAATAAAGTTGGTCGTAAAATCTGTTAATGAAAGTGTGATTATTTTTTCATGTTTTATTTATTGAACAGTTGAAATAATTTATTTTTCAATTAGACCCAGCCACGGCATCAACCGTGATGCACGACAAACAAATAGGACCTTAAACTACCCTAGCGCCATTTGGTCAGCATAACAACGTTAACCTTCATTAGGCTATGTTGAAAATGATTCTAAGGTGTGCATTAAACGATTGCGATCTTACTCGTAAAAAATAGAAATAAAGAAAAATACAAAATGACATTTTTTTACCGCAACGATCGGTTATAGACGACAAACAAGATTTGGACTAATCTGCTACTGTTGGTCATAAAGAAAACGTCATAAAGTATTTACATTTTGCTTGTCGTCTATAGTTGAATATGAGGGCCAATAGTAGTAATCAGTTAGATAAAAAGAGGTAATATTTGACTTGTATTTTTACGTGACATCATGTGATATTTCGACTATAACTATAAAGCACTGTAATTGTTTGTAAATTAGGTAAAAATACGCGTCTAATATACCTAATTTTATGGAAGTTATTTGTACTCATAGTAATACCTATCGGATATGATCGCAATCGATCAATTGGATATTGAAGACATGAAATGTCAAAATTAATGATATTATTATGTTAAAATGTGACCAACTTTTTAATAAGTTTTTTAGCTGAAGGAATTAAAGATCTTGCGAATTAAGTCCATGCTATGCTTATAAGATCTCTAAATATATTTAGTTTTAAGTATTTTTAACTATAACTTGCATGATGATTTATTAAAGTAAATAAATTGCCATATAAATCAGGCAGAAGCTAAAAATCGGAAATAATCACCGATGTATGGTAATATAATCACCTCTTATAAAATAACTGTCAAAGATGGTTTTTATTTAATGGGTGATCGTGCAAGCTTTATATTTTATCTCTTATATTGTTAATTTATTCACTGGTAACGCTAATTTACGTTATGTTACTGCAAGCTTAGTAGTTTCAAGTCAAACTTTTTAATATTAATGTGACATTTTGTTTATTCACTCTAGGTATTAATAAATTTAATAAATTAAAACTCAAATAAGTATTTAAATGGTTTTATTTTTGGTCGTATTGAAATACTGGTGTTTACAGTGTTTCGGTGGCTTATTGTATTATCTGTGGAAGATGTGTAGTATTAGTTAATCTGCGCATATTTAGGTATACTCATTGAATTGTTTATTCAAAACACATTGGTTTTTTAAGCATACTGCATTTAAGTAAACTAAGCATTGATTTCCCATAATTGTAAATCATTCTCTACTATTTCAGCATATTTGTCCGCTTTGCGTTTGTCTCTGAATAACGGCCTTAAAGTCTTCAAGTTAAGCCCTATTAAGGCTCCATTGTCCATTAAATTATTCAATTTATGGACTAGAACTGCGTTGTAGTTTAATCGTAGTAGGCTTGGTCTTGAGTAAAGGTATTGGCCGTCTCGAAGATTGGTTCGTGCCCATGTCTCTACGGTCTTGTTACCGCTGGCTATCTGTGGATGGACATACAAGTTCAGTGTTAAATAATACATAGCCTCACGCATGTCTCCCATGGGGATAGGTAGAGACTGAAACGTCAAGTGCTATGAGAAATATATTTGTTTATTGAAGAAGTGATTCAAGGTGTATTTTACGAAGGGCCCAGTATACTGCCCTGTAGAACTCCAATTGAGATGGTCTGTTACTATCTGCCTGAAGCGTTTATAAGATTATATTAAATTTGAAACTTCTTTGGTGCAAGCTTTTTACTTTGTGAGGCACTGTATTAAGTATTTTTTTTCATCTGATACTATAAATCGCAACGCATTGTCAGAAAGTTGTCAAAAGCTTTACACATATCCAAGAATATTTAGTTAATATAACCGATACTTCTTAGATCGTAGTGCACTATTTGTAGAAGTAAATAAAAAGTAATATTAAATTACAACAACTCACTCTAATATCACCGACTTGTTTAAGGAAATATGATGAGAAATAGAAGCGAAGGTTGGCAGAATTCGCGCGTCCAGCGTTTCGCATCGCGATGTATGAACGCAGTAGATCAAATCCACGCCTCTTGTATTTGAACACCTGAAAATGAAATAATAAATTGTTAAAAAAAGTGTGCTAGAATAGAAGCTAAATTGACTGTACGGTTGGTGCGGTGGCTGGGCAAGTGGCTGCCTCGCAAACGCGACATCGCCGCGACCGCGCACGCTGCTCATGAGGAATAGTCCCTCTATGACTCAAAATTAGTAGAACTTTTCTCAGTATATTTACGTGAGTAACTAGTAAATTTTAGTTAATTCCGTATTTATCAGTATTTTACCCGCGACTTTGCTCACGTCACAAAAGGATAAAAAGTAGCATATGTGACATATACCAATTCACACAGTGCCATCTATATCAATAATTTCGTTTTCCCTCGAGAATATCAAATTTTTCCGGGATAAAAAGTACCCTATTATACTATATTTAATCCAGACTTCTAACTTTACGTCTGCACAAATTCAAAGCAATCGGTTTAGCAGTTACGGCGTGAAAGCGGAACAAACGAACAAACAAACTCACTTTCCGATTTATAATATAGGTAAGGAAGTAAGGATTATTAGC